TGTCGCCACCCTAGAATTGGCGCACAAGATGCAGTGCCCAGTAGCGGCAGATGCAACAACGGACAGTCACGATTTGTCCATCCTGACCTGCATCTCAAACTGTGGTAACCCGAAGTTCACCTTCCAGTGACAAGGTCGTGATATCCTCGCTGCCCCTCCACCTTGTTCACCCCTCTCACGTCTGCCTGCACTCGTACTGCCTGTTCACTCGTTTCCCACCCTCGGTTGACTTTCTTCCATCTATCTCAACCGATCACTAATGCTCGCCGGTCGCAACCATGTCTAATCCAGATCCTCCCGCTACCCCACCGAGACCAGCCGATGCGATTCCTCAGATCATCCTACAGGAAGCAAACGCTGCAGCCGCGGCAGCTCAGGAAGATGAAGCCGGCGGTCACAAGGAGCCCTCGACCATGAACTCGTCCCCTGAAGGTCATATCCGGCACCACGGCGGTGTTTCTCCCCACCTGGAGGAGGTGCCTCCCCCAGCCTACAACAGCGCGACATATGGGGAGTTGGACATAGATCAAAATGGCCTGAACACAGGCGCACAGGTGGCCAGCGATGGCAGAGTCAACATCAATATCAACCAGCACAAGGGGAAGCTCACAAACCTACTTCTGCCCGCTCTGCGCCAGCAGCTCGATCTATCGAAACGCAAACCCTCAGCCGAACCCCAAATTCCCGAAGGGTTGGGAGAAGTAGACGGACTCCCTCCGCCACCCATGAACATTGTTATCCAAATCGTGGGAAGCAGAGGGGATGTTCAGCCGTTTGTGGCATTGGGCCAGGTACTGAAGAACAAATACAACCACCGGGTGAGAATAGCAACCCATTCAACTTTCAAGCAATTTGTCACAGAGAACGGTCTGGAGTTCTTCAGCATTGGGGGAGATCCAGCCGAACTCATGGCTTTTATGGTCAAGAACCCTGGTCTCATGCCAGGGATGGACTCACTGAAGAGTGGAGATGTCGGTAAACGAAGAAGAGGTATCTACGAAATCATCAACGGGTGTTGGAGGTCCTGTATTGAGGCTGGGGACGGTATGGGGACACCGATCAACGATGACAACATGGACACTCGCAGTTTCGACAGCGCCTTGTCCATGCGCATGGATCCGGCCCTGAAACCTTTTGTGGCAGATGCCATCATTGCCAACCCGCCTAGCTTCGCACATGTCCATCTCGCGGAGAAGCTTGGTATTCCCTTGCATCTGATGTTTACCATGCCCTGGTCACCGACCCAATCTTTCCCGCACCCCCTCGCAAACATCATCTCTTCAAACACGGATCCTACCGTGACGAATTTTGTTACCTATGCGCTGGTGGATATGCTTACCTGGCAGGGGTTGGGCGATGTCATCAACAAATTCCGGGAAAGGAGTCTCGGCCTCGAACCGGTCAGCATCATGTGGGCTCCTGGTATGGTCAGTCGACTGCGGATTCCCTGGACGTACTGCTGGTCTCCTGCTTTGATCCCTAAGCCGGCAGATTGGGGTAGCTACATTGATATATCAGGCTTTTTCTTCCTCAACCTATCGACGAACTACAACCCTCCACAGGATTTGGCTGATTTCTTGGCGGCTGGGCCACCTCCCGTCTATATCGGATTCGGTTCCATCGTGGTCGATGATCCCAATGCCATGACCAAGATGATATTCGAGGCTATCAAGAAGACTGGTCAGCGAGCGATCGTCTCCAAGGGCTGGGGTGGACTTGGTGCCAGCGAATTAGGAATTCCAGAAGCCGTCTTCATGATCGGCAACTGTCCTCATGATTGGCTGTTCCAACGTGTCTCTTGCGTTGTCCATCACGGTGGCGCCGGCACAACCGCCGCTGGGATTTTGGCCGGGAGGCCAACAGTGGTAGTGCCGTTCTTTGGCGATCAACCTTTTTGGGGTTCTATGACGGCTAGGGCTGGTGCAGGTCCAGTGCCTGTCGCCTACAAGAATTTGAACGCCGACAAGCTCGCGCAGTCGATCCTGGAAGCACTCAATCCTGGATCGCTTGATCGAGCGAAGGAGTTGAGCGCAAAGATCAAGGCCGAAAAGGGTACCGAGGCTGGAGCAGAGTCTTTCCACAAACAATTGCACATGTCAAACCTCAGGTGCTCATTGGACCCTTCTCGAGTTGCAGTGTGGCGTGTGAAGCGAACCGACATCCGCCTGTCGGCGCTGGCAGCTACGGTTCTCGGGACCGAAGGGCTTCTGGACTTCTCCGATCTGAAATTGTATCGACCTCGAGAGTACGAGACAGAAGACGGGCCTTGGGAGCCCATTTCCGGAGGCGCTGCTGCTCTGATTGGCACTTTGGGCAACCTTTCAATGGGAATTGCGGACTTCCCAGTCGAAATTCTGAAATCTTTCAAGACTGCACACGGGGAGCTGAAGGAGATCCACGAGAGGAGACACAGTGGCGCGAATACACCAACTGCGCCGTCAGAGCATACTTCTTCTGACAATGTCTCCAATACCCCAGCAAGCACTGCTACCCCGGTTCAGTCACCACCTCTTTCGCCACTTGGCGCCCCTTCACCGCTCAATGAGCCCTCTGTACCTCCGTCCATGTCCTCTGTGCTGACAGCCGATGGATCCACGAAACCTCATCATCGACATGGAAGCGGGTCCCACCATCGATCCCGTTCTCGCTCTCATTCTCGGTCAGCAAGTAGGCATCGCGATTCGACAAGTGAGGAGGTTGGCCAAGTCACATTAGATACCGCCCTTTCTGGTGCGAAGGCCGCGGGTAAGATCATCTCAGCGGGCGTCAAGTCGCCTATGGATTTCACTCTGTCACTGGCAAAGGGATTTCATAACGCGCCAAAACTATATGGTGACGATACTGTGCGGCAAAACGAGAAGATTGTAGGTCTCCACTCTGGTTTGAAGGTTGCAGGAAGGGAATTCGGATACGGATTCTATGACGGTATTACTGGGCTCGTGACTCAGCCTCTGCAAGGGGCCAGAAAAGAGGGAGCTGCCGGCTTCTTCAAGGGCGCCGCGAAAGGCATTGGTGGTTTGGTACTTAAACCAGCTGCAGGCATCTGGGGTCTTCCGGGATACACTGCCAAAGGTATCTACAGTGAAATTTCAAAGCACTTTGGAAGCTCTGTGCAGAACTACATCATCGCTGCTCGCACGGCCCAAGGGTTTGAGGACTGGAAGAACAGTAGTCCCGAAGACAGGCAGAGAATTGTCATGGCCTGGAAAGACACCCAGCTCGAGACGCGGAAACACGGGCAACTTTACGGTGCTGACCGCAAGGAGGCGATTGAAAGTCATATCCTGTCGAAATCAAATACGAACTCCGTCGGACTAGTGCACGGATTCAAAAACACGCGCCACCTCAGCTGGGACGAACGGAAGGCCCTTGCGGAGAGGAGGGATCAGCTCAAGAAGGAGAAGAAAGAACTCGAGCGCCAGGAAAAAGAGATAACCAGAGACGAGGCAAGGAAGAGTAAGAGCGGTGGCAGGGTCAAGAGCCGATGCAAGTTCTGTCCGTTCGATCACTCCACCAGCCAACACATCACGCATACTCAGTCCCTCTCCAGCCTGGACCCGTCAACCAGTAAGCAACGCTCTCAATCATCGAACGCAGGCGGTGAGGCTTTTGACGACTATGAGCACGCCATCATGCATTCGGTGACGTCCACCAGCAGAGGCAACCGCGAAGAAGACGCCATAGTCGAAAGAGCACTAAGGGCAAGTCTCCGAGAATTGCACGGCGGGGGCGACAACCACAAGCAACCCGATGCATCTTACCAACAAGCCATCCAAGCCAGCATCAGAGAGTTCAAGAGAGCCCAAGAAGAACATGCTCAGCAGACAGGTGTGGTCTCAACAAAGGCCGAAAAGCCGGACGAGGAGCACGATGCGGAACTCCACAGGGTATTGACAGAAAGCTTGGAGGAGTATAAGGCCGCGCAGGCTGCACGCGACCAAAGTGGCGGGCCCAAACATTCGCAGCCTCATCATTTAGACGACAGTGACTCGGGCATCGACACGGACTACGACGAGGAGTTCAAGCGCACTATTGAGGAGAGCAAGAGGCTCCATTCCATGAACGAGTTGAAGAAGAAAGAGCAAGAGCTTGTCGAAATAGAGGCCGCCTTGGCCAGTACTGACGGTACTGCCAAAGAAGCCACGGTCGCCAGCGAGGAAGCAGTCGTCGATGATGACGATGAACTGAACCAGGCAATCACCGCGTCCGAGCAAGACGAGAAGAGGCGCCAGGAAGAGCTTACAAGGCAGAAGACAGAGGAAGAAATCGTGCTCGAGTATATCAAGAAGCAGAGTCTGCGGGAGGAGGAGCTCAAGCGTCAAAAAGCCGCCGAATCCGCTACGACGTGATGTGAGGGCCCCTTCCATTCCTTGCTTGATCGGCTGAGAATGCTGCCACAGCTCTGGCGAGTAACTTGGAAGGGATATCTGTTCGCGGACGCAATCGATGCAGGTGCCCAGCGATGGGATCCAGGAAGAAACCGGCTGTCTCACTCACTCACTCTCTCTCTCTCATCGGGAGGTTGGCTGCATCGTCTGGATCACAGTGGTGAGTTGGGGCTGAGTTCAAGGATTTATTGAGTCATGATGGGATGCCTAGGTACGCATATGACGATACCACGACGTCTACGTTATCGTATACACGACATACTTTAATGAAGAATGAACCCTTTACTATGTTGTTGAGCTGTGGGACTTTCTGCCCCGGCCATCCGGTCACACGAGTATCAGTTGGCGACAGCCCCGTGAAACATTCTTTTTCGATCAAGACTTTATTCACGAATGCACGCAGTACATGGTGAGAAACGGTCCCGCACAGGGCTACCTTAGTCGTTGACTTGTATGTATTTCGTATGTACTTAGTATGGATTTCGTCTATGTACAGTAAGGTATTGATATTGGTCCTTCACTCGTCCGCACTTGGTGCTTCTCGAGTGGTGAAGATTTGGGACATGTTACGTAGGTATGTAGGACTTGTCATCCGTGATCCCGCTGAATCAATCAGTACACGCCCATCGGATACGCACTGGGGATATTCCGCGCGCCCAGCGGCGTCACGCTTGGCACGTGCGCATACGCAGCGGTGACTTCGACGGACTCATTCAGCCCGCCCGTCACGGGCATCCTCCGCGCGTGCAGCACGTCGTCGATGCCCTTTGCGACCTGCAGAAGGGTGCCCTCGGACCAGGGGGCGCCCAGGAGTTCCATGCCGATGGGGATGCCGATCGGGGCGGTCCTGCTGGGCGGGGAGAAGCCGATGGGCATGGTGATGACGGGCGATCCGGTCAGGGCGGCGAGGATGCCGTTGCGCCCGGACTGCGAGGCCGAGCCGATGGGCATGACCAGGTTCTTCTGCTCCGGGTAGATGAGGCAGGTGAGTCTGTTGGAGAGCAGGGTCGCGTGCAGCGTGCGCGTGAGGTCCGTGATCAGGGCCTGCTTCAGGTAGTACGACGAGTTGGAGGTCGACGAGCGCAGCGCCGTCTCGATGTAGTTGTACTGCGAGGGGATGACGACGAATTCCGGGTGCGTCTGGTTGGGCGTGTACAGCTGAGGCATCGACAGCGGGCGCGGGCCGGTGAGCGTGTCCGAGGAGAGGTACTGGCTCAGCAGTTCTCGATACTCGGACGTTTGGACGTCCATTTGCGCCGAGATGCTCGTGGCGTTGTACGTTGTCGTGTCGTTGATGGGGACGATGATGGCGCCTTGTTGCCGCAGGATCGAGAGCACGTGGTCCATGGCGTCGTTGACGGGGGTGGTCTCGTTGCTGGACGCGCGGTTGAAGAAGCCTTCGATCACGCCGATGCGGACGCCGCTCAGGTTGGACGATGATCCTGGGGACAGGAAGGCCGTGTAGTCGGTGCCTAGTAGGGAGGCCGGGACCGCCGAGGTGACGTTGTCGGCCGGGTCGTACCCTGTGGATGCCATGACTGTGAGGGCTGTTGCGATATCTGGGAGGCTGCGGCCTATTGCTCCGATGGTGTCCTGCGTGTAGGAGATGGGGATCACGCCCGAACGTGAAATCAAACCGCGCGTGGGGCGGAAGCTGAACAGGCTGTTCGCGCTGGCGGGACTTCGGAGCGAGTTGACCGTGTCTGTTCCGGTGCCGAATACTGCGAACGACGCGGCGACGGCAGCGCCCGTGCCCCCTGAACTTCCGCCGGGTGTCCTGGTGAAGTCGTACGGGTTCATTGTCTGGCCACCGAGGCTCGAGACCGAGAGGCCTTCAAGAGCCAACTCGTGCAGGTTCGCCTTGCCAAGGATCACGGCACCGGCATTGCGGAATGCTCGCACGGCAGGCCCGTCTTGTGTTGGCTTCGACGAGTTCAGGGCCAGACACCCGCCCGTCGTGCTCATCGGGAGAGCATCGTAGTTGTCCTTGAGCAGAATGGGGATACAAAACAGTGGTCCCGTAGCATTTCCCTGTGAGAGCGCATCGTCCAACTTGTCGGCTATGGAAAGGGCTTCCGGATTCAGGCTTATGATCGCGTTGATGTCCGGATTGAAGTGCTGGATTCGAGCGATGAAGGCGCTGACAATGTCGCGGCAGCTGGTCAAGCCGGAGAAGAGGGAGCTGTGCAGGCTGGCGATGGTCGCCTCGCGCACATCAATGGGCGTCGTTTGTGCATGGGACGAGGCACCAAGGGCTAATGAGATGGCGAGAATATTGAAGACGTACATCTTCACTGCACCGTTCGACCTGTCGGATTTGGCGCTGGGAACTGGATCGACGCTGCCTGCCTTCCCACCTTCCTATCATTTCGCTAGCTGTTCATATAGGCCTGGAAAATTTCTCTCGACATTGCACTTGGTGTCGATATCTAGGTGTTGGCATCGGCGTCAAGTGACGGCCGGCGAGAGTGCGAGGAGATAGCCACCTTATCAGAAGCAAATCTCTCAGACCTGCCATATCTGGTCCTTCCAAGAGTTTAGCCTGGGGCGACATAACCAGGAGATCTCCTCCGGTTCTCCGATCTGTGCCGTAGTCCAGGTAAATATCGGTGCCAACGGCGTAAAGGCCCGCGAGGAGGCTGGGCGGAGAGCTGATAAGGCTGTACGGAGTAGTACCAAGGAGAATGATTAATTGTGATAGACAGTACATATATTATTGTGTAAACCTTGGAAGGTGTTTGATGGGAGCATTGATCAAAAGTGGCTGAGGTTGTGGGTGGACGACGCCATATGCTGGTTGTCAGAACAAGCCTTAGGGCCTTCCATGTGTGTCTTCTCAGGCGTCCCTGCTAGGCACCATGGGCCGTCGTGGGCGTCCCGGGCGCGCTCACGCGAGACCCACGCACCCAGATGTCAAGCCCGTGGCTGCTGATGCTGACCGAGACTGGATGCAAAATACGAAGAACACGATCAAGCCAATGAATGCAAAACAAAGCCTTCCACCTCGTATCCTCACCACCGACATCACTTGCACCACTTGTACCATTACAACTCTCGACCATCTTCAGTGCCTCGGCATGCGCTATCCAGTGCTTATTCAGGCTTCTTCACCTCCACCACCTGGTTAAAATCCTCGCTGAAATAGCATTCGAGCCCCTCCCTGTTCTTCCATCTCAATGGGCAGAGCTCAATGTCACCGCTTGGCATGGTGCCGTCCAACGTCACTCTGTACCTCTCCCTCCTCCGCAGTCTTACTGCTTTGGACTGTTCCACAACGTGATGAGGGCTTCGGAGGGCTTCTAGTCAGGAACTACATCCGCTCGATTGGCTCGCACCGCCTGGTCTTCCCCAGACTCCAGTTCCAACCCGTCATTCCGCGCTACCCGATACGAGGCCGGTTGGAATGCTACTCTGGGGAGAGCGGTGGCTCTACTGGCGTGTCGAGCTCTGACTCTGCAATCAGCGACTGGTCGAATGCTCGTGGCAAGATGCAGGAAACACAGCTGCATGCAGCGGCGTATCCTACCGGACCACAGTTGGGCATGTGGTCAAGCAAGATTTTCTGGGGTTCTTAAGCAGTACATCCGCACCTGTCAGAGGATGTAAACGTCTTCCATGAACCACCGTCTGGGTTGATACGGTGGCTACCATGTTGTTGAATACGGCTTTGTTCGGCCTTTTGGCCTCAAGCTTGGCTTTTGCTCAGAAGGCTTGTCCTGGCTATCGCGCCAGCAATGTCCAGCAGACGTCGAATGGCCTCGTTGCTAATCTCAATCTTGCAGGACCGGCCTGTAACATCTATGGCACTGATCTGCGGAATCTGACACTCACCGTGGAGTATCAATCTGGTGAGCGGAGTACGTGAAAGCCATATCGCTCGGCTGCTGAATTGTGATCAGCTTCCAGACTCCATGTCATTATCCAGGATTTGAATCAGACTGTTTACCAAGTTCCGGAGTCGGTCTTCCCACGACCCAGTGCGGCTGAAGGTGTCACTGCTGCCGATTCTCAGCTGGTTTTCAATCACACCGAGAATCCCTTCACCTTCTCTGTCTCTCGTCGTAGCGGAGAAGTACTCTTCAACACCTCCGGATCGGCCTTGGTATTTGAGTCACAGTATCTCAGACTTCGGACCTCTCTGCCCAGTCACCCAAATCTTTATGGCCTCGGCGAGCACTCTGATCACTTCAGATTGAATACCTCTAATTACACCAGGACTTTGTGGTCCCGCGATGCCTATGGTATTCCCCAGGGCACCAACTTGTACGGAAACCACCCAGTCTACATTGATCACAGAGGAACAAACGGTACGCACGGCGTTGTCTTCCTGAACTCCAATGGCATGGACATTAAAATCAACGACACTGCCGGTCAATACCTCGAGTACAACACACTTGGCGGCGTCCTCGACTTCTACTTTCTTGCAGGACCTTCACCCGTCGAGGTTTCGCAGCAAATCTCCGAAGTTGTTGGAAAGCCCGCCATGATGGCGTACTGGACGTTTGGCTACCATCAGTGTAGATACGGATATCGAGATGTCTACGAGGTTGCTGAGGTTGTTCACAATCATAGTGTTGCTGGTATCCCGTTGGAGGTACGCCAGTCTATCACTCGTGAAAGCTCTTACTGACGATAATAGACTATGTGGACCGACATCGACTATATGGTGAGTTCCTGCAAGCTCTCCACTGAGTTGCGGCTAATTCGAGGCAGGATGCTCGGAAAGTCTTCACACTGGATCCGCAACGCTTCCCTCTAGCCAAGATGCGCGAACTTGTCGCTTACCTTCATGCCCACCAGCAACACTATATCGTCATGGTCGACCCGGCTGTGGCAGCTCAGAATTACTCGGCTTTCAATAACGGCAACTCGCCGGATATCTTCATGAAGAGGGCTGACGGCTCCAACTTTGTGGGCGTTGTCTGGCCAGGCCCAACTGTGTTCCCAGATTGGTTCCATCCAGATACCCAAGGCTACTGGAATGATGAGTTTGCAGACTTCTTCAGTCCGGAAACGGGCGTTGACATTTCCGGGCTCTGGATCGACATGAACGAAGCTGCAAAGTACGGGTCCTAATGTCACTGCTTGAAATTCTGCTAACAGCCAGTAGCTTTTGTAACTACCCCTGCTCGGACCCAGCCGCCTTTGCAAAAGCCCAAGGATTCCCGCCAAAGCCGCCACCGGTGAGAGACGGGCCGGCTGTGGCTTTGCCTGGCTTCCCAGCAGACTTCCAGCCACCGACTAAGCGACAGACCATGGCCACAGGTAACAAGACAGGTCTGCCAGGACGAAAGCTGATCAATCCACCTTATACTATCCGCAACGCCGCCGGCAGCCTGTCAAACAAGACAATTGACACCAATCTTGTCCACTACAACGGTCTTGTCGAGTATGATACACATAACCTCTACGGGACTATGATGTCCTCGGCTTCCCGCACTGCCCTCCTCAATCGCCGCCCGGGCGAGCGACCGCTGGTCATCACACGGAGCACGTTCCTTGGCGCAGGTGCACATGTCGGCCATTGGACTGGCGACAACCATGCAGACTGGAGTCAGTATGAGATCAGCATCTCCGACATGTTAAATTTTGCGAGCATCTTCCAATTGCCAATGGTCGGCTCCGGTATGCTCCCATTCAAGGTACAAAGGACAGCGCTAACGCACCACCGTAGATGTCTGCGGTTTTGGAGGGAACACTACCGAGAGACTTTGCGCCCGATGGATGATGCTAGGAGCCTTCCAGACCTTCTATCGGAACCACAATGAGTGAGTGTCAAATATCTTGTGTCGGGATGCCACACAGCATTAACCAAAGTCTGTAGACTCGGGAGCAGGCCACAGGAAGCCTACCGCTGGCCGCTCACCGCTCAAGCCGCGCGAAACGCTATTGACATCCGCTACCGTGCCCTGGACTACCTGTATACGGCTTTCTATACTCAAAATCAGACTGGCAAGCCTGTTTTGAACCCATTGTTCTACATCTACCCGGAAGATTCCAAGACATTTGGTATTGACGCACAGTTCTTCTTCGGCGACCCACTTCTGGTGTCCCCTGTCCTGGCTGAGAATCAGACATCTGTCCGGATCTACCTACCCAACGATACCTTCTACGACTGGAACGCTGGCTTCGCCCCAGTGCAGGGCAATGGCTCCATGGTCAATTTGACCAACGTCAACTTCACGACGATTCCACTACACGTCCGCGGTGGTGCCATCCTCCCTCTCCGCATCGAAAGCGCCAACACGACAGCACAGCTTCGGACCAAGGGATTCAACCTCTTGATCGCGCCAGGCCGGAACGGATCCGCCAATGGGTCCCTCTACCTTGACGATGGCTTGTCTATTGAGCAGGCCGGCACCACGTTTATCAACTTTACCTATGCCGGAGGAGATTTCTCCATGTCCGGAGACTACAGCTACCCGGCGAACGTCAGCATCGAGAGAATCACCGTGCTGAACGTCGCTGCGGCCCCTCAACGCATCAACATCCCCGGCGCTCCCGAATCGAACTTCACATATAACAGAACGAGCAAGGCGGTCATAATCAACACGAATATCCCTCTGACGCAAGATGCTAGCTTTCAGTTGCCATGAAACGCGGGGTAGACGGGATGCATTGGAAGGCAGGATTTCGGGATGCGAGCAGCAGCCACGAGGGGCAGGACGCAGAGGATCGTGTTTGAGCCTGTCTTGGTAGTTATGATCACGAGTTCTGAATGCTGATACGCTGTCGCCGTGGAATATCGTGTACAAAGTGTCAGCGTGCAATATCATGCGCTACCGATCGACTGGATCAGTCTCGAGCAAAGCATCTGCGGGCCTCGGAACGAGCCTGCGGTACGATGGAAAGAAGCGGTGAAGGAGTCTGCGCGTCCGAGCCTCTCCTCGTCTTTTCGCCCCTGTAGAGTCTGGTGAAACAATGCCTACCGGGCCGAAGATCTGGCAACAACCTTGTTCGAACAACAAAGCCGATGTTTGGCGCGATTTCCTACCTTTCTGCATAGGTCCCTCGATCCGAGTCACAGGGTAGCGAGTCAAGACGCCGTGAGCGAACGAGCCACAGGTATTGTCCTGCTCAGCCTCACCCCTCTAGGCTCGTTTATCTGAGAGGACCACGACAAGGTTCTTGAGTCCCCTCACACTCTATCACTAATCCCACGCTTGAGGCTGCCAAATGGCCGGTGGTTTGGTCGTCGTCTCCCATGGAGCGCGGCCCCGAGCATGGACCGGTCGTACGCGGAGAACGTCGCTCCGAAGGTGCAGTGACGAAGGTGACATTATGGAAACGAACCCACCGAGGCACGCTTGGGGAAGCGACAGGTGGAATAGGTGGAAAAGCTACAAAACCACCACGCACGGCGGCGGGGTAAAAGGCTGGACCTGCCCGCCGTGCGCAATCATGTGTTCTTCCTGCTTCCTGAGGAGCCTCTTTCGCGCCCTTTCATTTGTTCTCGACTGCCGTGTCGTTATTCTTCTCACTAATGCACCGTGGCATCGTCCGCTCGCGTTAGCCATGCTGCCAGCTCATCCCTTCGTGCTGCGCATGCCTGCGAACCACGACGATTGACCGTCTGCCACGCTGCGCCGCCTGCGGCTGCACATCTGAATTGCCACAGCCGGGGCTCACCTCGTCACCCTCTGTCCTCAGGTCAGTCATCTGGGTCCTCGAGTCTGGACACAGCCTCATTTCTTCAAGCATGCTCATTCGATTTCTCATCGTCTTCTCCCTTGGACCGCTAGCCTCTGTCGCGACCGAGGTCCATCACCACCCGGAAACCCGCCGCTAACGGCCGAACCCCGTGACCTGGGAATCAAGGCGGCTCCCCTCGATCCCACCATCGCGATGCCTAAGCAGTCGTCAAAATCGGGAAAGAGGCAGAAGCGAGACGATGACAATGACTCGGACGAGAGCGCCGACGACGACATCCAGCCCATACACTTCTTCGTTCCGGGCGAAAACATCAATGCGGCCGTTCTGGTGGAATATATCAACCGCTATGTCGACCGGACGGCGAAGATTACATCGGCCCAGCATCCCACCGTACGATTGAGTGGTGGTCGCATACTCCGTTGGTTTGGGGCTGACTATTTGCAGGATAAAAATCGGACGGGTTTCAATGTTTCTGCAAAAAGATCCCTCAATGCCGTAAGAAGCTCCCAGAATGATGCCCGCATTCGCTGAACCGATTGTGTCTAGGTTAGCATCCGCGATCTCATAAACGACTCTAAAGACTGGGATCTGGAAACACAAAGCAGTGAGCACCATCTCCGGGGCTGGATGGGGGTTGGAGTTGACGTTGTCCACAGGAGAGTACAGAAGGAATCCGTACGACTATCGAGAGTCTGATACCGCGAAACGCCGGGCCAAAAAGGGCCCCTCGGAAGGCGGCACAAACCGTCCCCAGCAACCACGAGCAAGGCGAGAAACCACGGCTGAACCGCAAGATGTCGGGCGGCAAGAGAGAGGCCCTGTCCAGCCGAGTGGAGGTAGTGGCGCTTCGCAACCCCATTATCAGGCCCAATACGCCCAATACTCCTCGCAGTCGCAGCCTCAGAATGTCCAGGCAAGCTCGTATGGGTATACCCAGCCAACAAGCCCGCCCACCAACATCAACATCACCATGAATGCCGCAGCATTCGCGCCGAGCCGAGCTGGACAGCCAGCGCAATACCCCGCGGCGACATACACCAGTGGCGGGTATGCGCACCCAACGCATCAAGAATCGGAGCCACCGCCGGCTTACCAGCCTTCTATAACAAGCCGCGGGGGAGGCTCAGGACCGCAACCTCCGGCGCAGCCCGGCCCTGACACGTTCGATGCGGACAAGCCAGCAATAAGTCGATCACAGAGTGCCCAACAGCAAGAGCGTCGAGGTTCAAGCTATGATCAGTCGGGTCGAAGATCCGCTCGTTAAAGCCGGACAGCACGAGGGTTCCCGCTCATCTGGCCGATTGGAAATGTCTGGACCGACCGCGAAGTGAATGCTGTTGTCTTGGTGAGAACGGCGCTTGCGAATATGCATGTGAGCGCGGGCCAGGCCGACGAGACGCAGCCACAACCTTGTTATCTGACCTTGGAGAGGTGCTCTTGAGACTCGGCGAACTCGTCGTCGCTATTTCCTTGTTAGCAAGTGCTGGCGGACGATTTCTTGCCTTGTCGAATGTCAGCTGTCTTGTCCTAGACCCTGTGCCAGCCCAAATCGACGCGGCGTGCTGGTATGGAATCTCGGCATTTCGCGCAGCGCGAAACGGGCGTCGTCATCTAAGCCACCTTTTTGACAGCTATTGTTGCATGTGGCGCCCTTTAGATTACGGTTCGACCCTCCTTCGGATCGTCAACCCAGCATCCATTGAGATGCACACGCTTGGGAGGCTTCATCGGGAAATTTCGCGCGAAGGGCATCATGTGCCTACAGTGCTGTTTTGGGAAATTTGCATCGCACGAGGTGGTTGAGTGGCATGCCTATGCGGTCATCGACGGGTCAAAGGACGGTGGTACTAGATGACGGGGGGAGACGCAGACGCCGGCAAAAGGAATGTGTCGTCTGGCGGCGCGCCACCGAGCTGGTGACAGGCCTCGGACGCACCCCTTGCTGCAACTATGGCATCATATCACATTGTGCCCCCTTCCCCTGGCTCGCCCTGCATACCGATTGTATATAGACACGCAGTAATCTCTGTTGCCCACGGGTGCTGGATCGCGGCGTTCAGACGTACATAGTAGATATCTCGTAGATGTGGAAAAGGACGTTGTCCCCCGGTCACGCCTGCGAGATTAAGTTTGTCCAGCTCGGGGCGGCAGCGCTCGACGCCGCGGGCTGATTCGAAGATGGGCTCGTGTTCGGGCTTCGGTGGCACCCCCGACTGACAGGCCGTCCGGGTGAGGGAGCAGGGCGGCGGTCAGAGCACTCAGGCCCTCGTGACCGGCTCGAGGCTGACGTCGGGCGTGGCCGATATGCTGTGACAAGTGACGCACGACAAGTATTTAAGAGATCGAGCCCATCCCCGCCGGTCAGGGTGCGAGCTGGGGGGAGTGACCACTGCCGTTTGGGGGGCGGGCATGTGTTCCAAGGTTTCAGAGTCTTGTTCTGCCCGCAATCTTACTCTATCGGCTACGTGTCAGGCTAGAAGGGCGCCGCTCTCTCCGGCCACCCCCCTGATTGGGCCCCGGAAGGACTTTGCATATGCGCCGGGCAGAAAACTGGGACCGTAACGTTGGGATGCATGTCTCATCGAGTTCCACGACAAGTCGAAGACGAGCCAGCCTGCCCACGGGCCACCAGCGCTACCCCTCCTCCTCCTCGACTTCTCTCGTGAGAGGCCGCTCTCGCAAGGCCACACACACCCCGTCCTCGCGACCGCGCGCGAGCCTTATGTGTTGAGCTTTCTGCCGTCTGCCTTTCGCCCTCCTCACGGATCTAGCTTCGGCATTCGAATCCCAACCTCGTTTCGGGCAGTGATGAGCACTGGGCAGCGCACGACAACACCGGGTCAATGGCCGCGAGCCTGGGCAATTATCCCCATGGATGGACCGTCAACACCAGCAATGTCGCTCCAGCACCAGCACCGACACCAGCACCAGCACCAGCACCGACACCGACACCAGCACCAGCACCAGCCGCGGTCCAAGCACCACCGTCGCTCGCTCCCGCGCAGCTCGAGGCGCGCGAGGGCCCCGCTCCCGCTCAATGGCAGGCGGTGAAGGACGAAATCCGCGTGCTGTACGAAAAGAACCCCTTGCGAGATGTCCGTAAGATTATGGAGAGGAAATACGGCTTTAAAGCGACGTGAGTGTGCCTTCGGTCCTGCCTTCGTGCCTGTCTGTCTGTCTGCACGCTGCCGCCGCCGCCGCCGCACGCCCAGCCCAGCCATTTGAATTAATTCATTCCTGCCAGCTGCCCACACCACCTTTAATTGCCCCGATGCTGACGTGAAACCCCTCGCCTCGTGTGCCGATAGTGAGCGCATGTATAAAGCCCGGCTGTCGCAGTGGGGAATTAGCAAGAACTACTCCGACAAGGACTATCAGATATGCTCGGTGCTCAACCACCACCGCCAGAAGAGCGGTAAGCGATCGACGGCCTTCATGATCCATGGCCACAAACGCTCGCTCAAGGACCTTCACAAATACGTCAAGGGCCGGAAGATGACCGAAGAGGATTTCCTCGCGTCTGCTCTAGCCAACGTCGACTGTCACGGCGGAGACCAGCAACAGCAGCCCGAGCAGTACGCCCATGTTCGCGCATACACCCCCGAGCCCGAGGTCGAGGGGGACGACACGCCGTCCGCTCCAGCAAGGGTCCGACCGGCCGAGATTGTTGCCAACGTCGATCTCAGCCTCAATGCAAACATCAGCGCGGCCGCATTCGCACCCACGGGCACGGCACCTGACTCGGGGGCCTCAGGACCAGCCTTGCGTTCCACCGCCCCCACCTCGACCTCCACCTCCATGTCCATCTCCGCGGTCCCGTCTTCCGCGTTCACCACCATTCACCACGGTTCGCCCACCTCGCAGCAGAAGACCCGATCACCGCGTGGGAGAGCCTCGCCGTCCATGCCCCTGACCCTTTCCAGTCAGGTGACACCATATGCCCAGCAGCAGCAGCATCATCCGCGACAGGGGAGTCGGTTCCCGCCTCAAGAAAGCACCGTCACGTGGCCGCCATCGTCGAACTCGCCCCATTCGTCGCGCGGCGGGTATTTAGTATCTTCACCACAGGACACGCCCTCGTCCTACACCTTCTCCACGACCCACGAAGCACCCGTGCCTTTCGAAGACCAGGTCCGTCATGCGGGCAGCTTCGACGACTCCTCCAGCCCCACAATGCCCTGCCAGCGGCTTGGGCGCGACGTCGAGTTCATGGCCCTGCAGATCATCGACGCGCCGCCGCTGCGATCGCTGTGCGGCCACGACGACATCCGCGCCTGGTCCCTCATGATGGCGGACAGCACCAGCAGCACCAGCAGCGCCTCCTCCGACGGCGATGGCATGGACTACGAGCAGATCTGCCCGACGTGCCACGAGTCGACGCGTGAACACTTCATCAGCCTACCCAATCTGGAGATGGCGCCGGCGCCGGCGCGCAACATCCTCAACGTGGCGCACGACGTCGCTGCACCCCAGCCTGCCATGGCCATGGCCCTCCCCGCTAGCTCGCGTGGCCACGACCACTCGTGGCGGTGGGTGGCGCGCTGCTTCGCTGCGTGCATCTACCTCCGGCGGGGGGACCACACGTTGTCGCGGCACAGCCTGGCGGACGCGGACGCCGAGTTCGAACGCATGCTCGCCCCCCGCCAGGACCCGAAGGTCCTCCTGGCGCTCAACCAGACGGTGCAGATCCTCCAGATGCACGACCAGGGCGACCTGACCAAGACGATCATGACATCCGCCTACTACGTCGCCAGGCGCACACTGGGGCCCGACGACCCCGTCACCACCATGGCACGCTGGATGGTCTACGTGGCAGACGGGCAGATGCGGGATCGCGACATCACGAGCGCGACGCTCCGCGCGCTGCACGAGACGTTTGTCCGCCGCCACGGCGCCGACGACCCCCGCGCCATCGCCTCGCTGTACTGCTACGGGTTTATGCTGAACGTGGAGGCGCAGCCGCAGCGCGCCGAGCACGTGCTGCGCGAGGTCTACGACGTGTCGACCCGCGTGCTGGGCCCGCGCCACCTGCAGTCGATCTCGGCGCTCACGAACCTGCACCGCGCCCTGCACCGGCAGGACCGCCTAGATGAGGCCGTGGCCGTGCTGGCCCGCGCGATCCGAGACTCCAAGGACACGCTAGGCGAGAACCACCCGCGCCGGCTGGAGAGCATCCGCCTCCTCGCCCTGCTGTACAAGCAGCAGGGCCGGTCCGAGTGGACGGAGCAACTGTACTGGCAGGTGCTGGAGGGGCGGGTCAAAATGCTCGGCAAAAACCACGCCTACACGCAGGGCATGAAAGTCGACCTGGAAGCCCTGTTGAAGCAAACGGGCAAGTGGACCGTGAGGAAGAGGGTCCACCGGCAGACACGCCGGAGGAGCAGCAGCAGGGGCAGGGGCAGGGGCAGGAGTACCAGTCGGAATAGGACCCAGAGCACGAGTCGGGGCAGAGGCAGGGGCAGGGGCCGGGGCAGGATCCCTCCTCAAGCAGCTGGGTTTCGGGGTGAGAGAGATTCCGAACTCGTCCAGGAAGAGGAATTCGAAGTCGAAGTTGAAAGTGAGGCGCAGCTCCGCATTCAGGATATCTTCGAATGGGATCCCCACGAGCAGTGGGACGAGACGCGCAGTGATGGCGGGGACAGCGACGGGACAGGAAGTCAGCACGAAGCATTCTAGCTTCCAAAGTTCTCTGCAGCGTACGAGAGACTACGGGTACGATTGGTTCCCACGGGACGGTTTTCGTTGGTTTGGGGGGCAGTCAGAAAGACCGAGCAGGAGGAGTCAGTCCCGGGCAGGATGAGTCAGAAAGACCGAGCAGGAGGAGTCAGTCGTTGGACAGATTTGTGGATGTGGATGTTGATATGGATTGTGGACCGCGCTCGAGCGGCTCTCTCCTCCCGACACGCAGAAATGAAGACAGACGGAGACAAAGATGAATGAGGGGCGTGAGGTGCAGGGGTGGTGTCCTCTGCTGTGCTGTGTGCTGTGTGCCGTGTGCCGTGTGCTGTGTGCCGTGTGCTGTAACGTGGTGTGGTGTTCTGAACCTTTTGACCTTGTCGCTTTGCACTTTGCACTTTGCGCTCGCCAAACTCTAGTACCTACAGTACGTATACATGGGTCTCCGTCCTTCTGTAAGCACAATACCACAAGTCGCATGTCGCATGTCATATCGCATCACGTTACGCATTGCATCCTATCGTATCCTCTATCTCTATCCCCTCGCGGAAGCCTCGTATCATATCGTCCGCAATCTGACGTGGAGAGAGCGAGTGAGAACGAGGGTGAGAACGAGAGCGAAGATGAGAATGAGAACGAGGGTGAAGATGAGAATGAAAAACGAGGGTGAGTTAGAGCAAAAATAGCCATGATCGCGTAAATATGCCTGCCACAGATACAGATGGCAGTGTGCAGTGGTCGTTTCTACCTACAGTAGTCGGAAACGATCACACCGCGCCGCACACCATACCATGGCTACACCCCTTGCGGTCCGTCCGCCGCTGCCCAGCAGTCAGTCAGTCAGTCAGTCCCCCTGACAGAAGAGACAGAGACAGAGACAGAGACAAATCGCCGCAATGCCATGCCGGCTTCCGGAGTGAGAGGAAAGAACCATGCATTGCATGAGCATGCAGTGCCGTCCGTCCCGCTAATTTACTGCACTACAGTACCCTCGTACGAGTACCCTGGTACGAGTACCCTGCCCTGCCCCTGCGTGCCGTGCGTGCAGTGCGTGCAGTGCGTGCAGTGTAATCTCAGGGAGGAAGACTAGCGGGAGGAAGACCAGAACGGCCGTCGATCATCGTCTCCCATCCATTATCGATTGATTAACCAACCGAAGCTCTTATCCCGAGATACTCCGTACATACTGTACATTGGCATTGGCCGGCCCGTTTCTTCTGCTCTCGGCTTGGCCTGCTATCGTATCTGCTAGGCTGCTTGCGGTGTGCTACGAATCGCGGCAGGGAATGAAGGACTTTTGGCAGAGAAGAGGAGTCTTCGTACAGTGACGGAGGAGGAAGGGATTCCCCCAATGGTGTGAGGCGGAGAGGACGATCTCATAAAATGGCACAATGGGTAAGCGACCTCACGAATGCGTGTATCAGATCCCGTTGCAAATACTGGGTACTGTCACTGTTCGCTCTCTGCAGGAAACAACCCTCGCGTACGGACCGCTGCATTCCACATTCGTGTTCCTGTGCAATGGACTTTCTGACTTTCTGATTTCTGCGTCGAACTGACCTAGGAGTTCTCGCCATGGCTGTTAGTTGGTCCATTGCTTCACGGAATACCAGGCCCTGCTCGAGCTGCCTTATTGGTTGTCATATGGCAAACCGTCCTGCATCCTCACCGCTTCATTGGTTGTCAGTATGGCAAACCGCCCTGCATCCTTACCGCTTCATTGGTTGTCAAATGGCAAACCGCCCTGCATCCTCACCGCGCCGTAGATGCCGGCAATATCACCCTTCTCGCCCTTCTGCTCCTTGACGGTCTTCAAGTACGAATCGGCCAATTCAACCTGCCTCATCCGGCAGCCACTTTTCTCGGCCAGGTTCATGGCGTGTCGGGCGTCCTTTCGTGCCAGGTCGACGGCAAACAGAGGTTCCGGGCGATTGGCGTAATCTCCCGTCTTTAATCGGGTCGAGTAGGCGGTGTATGGGCCCGGGAACATGACTTCGATGAATTTGTGCAGCTCCTCGACGCCCAGGCCCGACTTCTCTGCCACGACGTGGCCCTCCGAGAGCGCCGTGACCATGCCCGCGATGAACGTGTTGCCGATCACCTTGAGCAGGGTGGCCTTGCTGGGTTCTTGCCCTGAAAAGTCAATGTTCGCTCGCCCCATCACACCTTTGCAGTACGGTAGCACTTTCTGCACGGCTTCGGTTTTGCCCGCGATGACGCAGATCAGTTGACCTGCGTCGGCCATTGCTGGGGCGCCGAATACAGGGCATGCGACAAAGTCGCCGCCTTTGTCTTCAACCATTTTGGCTTCTTTTGCCGTTGTGTCTGGATGTACGGTGCTGCAGTCCACGATGATCTTTCCTTTGACGTCCACCTTGAGCACCTCTTCGAGTGTCCCGAGCACGGACGGGTCTTCGCCCAGGCAGTAGAATATAATGTCTGCCTGGGAGGCGGCTTCCTGGATGGAGGAAGCAACTGTTGACTTGCCGATTTTGGCAGAGAAGTCGTCGGCTTTCTGCGTGGTTCGGTTGTAGAGGATCAGAGGCTTGTCGAGGTTGCCCTTTTCCACGATGTTCTTGGACATGCCCTTGACCGGTGGTCAGCACAGCTCGACTTCGGCGCCAAGTGCAAGGTACTCACCCTGCCCATGTTCCCCAGACCCAGCCAGGCCAATTGAGGGGCCATCTTTGCAGGGTGCGCGCAGGAGAAATTTAAGAATGAGTTGTGGTCGAGCAAGAGAGACGCAGGTTGCCGGTAGACTTCTTGTGTCGATGGTCTCTGCTGATTTACTGAGCCGTTACAAGGATTTATATTCCTAGACTCGTTGAAGCTGATCGTACACAGAAGCAAGCCTGATCCGTTTCTGCCCGTGTCCCATCATGACGTTTGGTTCGTCGTACCTTCGACATTGCGGGGAGATTCCGAAGCTGACAAAATTTCATATCAAACGCGGCGGTATGTTCGTACAGTACATGAGACTGGACTTTCACGAGTCCCGGGGAAACACGGGTTGGTCTCCAAGTCGTCAGTAATCAGCAAGTGATGGCTGCGCAAGGGACGACTAGGTGATGCGTCGAGGAATGACCGACCTCGCGAGCCTGACTTTACTCCTCGACCGAGAAACAATCACCGAGCGAAATCAAATTGGAGCGCGTGCCCCTCCCGACACCGGGCTGGGCACGCCCGGGGTGCCACGGGGGGCTCCATGTCCCTGCCAAGGGGAATGATAGTGCCTGCGATAAGCGCCAATGATGCCCCCGGGTTTGCGGGCGGTGAAGCTGCGTTGGCGAGGTGCAGTCCCTCCTCCTCGCTTGTGTGCAGGTGCGTCACAATTTTTTATTTTTTTTTCGCAGGACGATGAGGGCGGCGTGACTCAGATTCGCTGAAAGCTGTAGCCGCTTAATTGCGGGTGTGTTTTCTTCAAATCATCCTTTGGCATACCTTCTGCCGCCCTGGGTTCTTCATTCTTGTCCGCCGAAGCATGAGCCAGATAGCGATGACATATGGTCGCACCCACTACTTGCCTACCACCAATGTTGCCGCTGAGACCTTGAGGGCATACCTCCTGTCCCACCCAGCACGTTGTCTCCCTCGGTTTTACTCTGCTCAACCCACGCAACGCACGGATGACGGCTCATCCTCCGAGAACCAGGGAACGTTAGAGCAAGAGAAGAACAGCTCCTTTAGCCAGAGGGCTAGACAGCGTCTGGCAAACAGAGAGTTCTTCACCAGTCTGTTAAGCTCCGCCGCTACGAAGAGAGATGCAAAGGCATATATCTCCCGCCTCAAGAACCCGGCCAAGTCGACTGGAGAGCAGAAGCCGGCCACACGGGATCCACAGTCTCAGGTAGAAGCGGGAGAACTGTTTGGTTGGACTCGAGCCTCAGAAGCAAGCCCAGTCTTCACCCAATTTGCAAATGAGCAGGAGCGGGAGCAGGCAACCGAGGAGCAGGAGCTTCTACATGTTGCACTCGTCAAGATCAGCGATGTGTCCACCATGGCCGACAACCTCGTGAAGGGGATTGCTCAGACCCTGTCTTCTCTCTCCAGACTGAGTATGGCACCTTGCGTTGTCTTGGAGGAGCCTCTACAGGACGATCGACAAGCGAGCCGACGGCAACTGACCCTGGCTGCAAACAGACTCGCTACTGCAATTGACTCTGTACATGAGTGCGGAGCCAGAATCCTGGACAATGTGCTGAGTTTGGGCCCTGATGGTCGCCCCCAAGTATTTCTTCGAAAACTCTTGACTCGTCCGTTGAGACGAGGCCGGGTACCCATCATACTGCCTATTGCTTACTCTGCCGAGCAATCACGGGCCGTCTCAATCAGCGCTGATGAAGCAGCCCTAGCATTGACCAGGGAGCTTGCAGGTGTCCCGGTCAAACCACAGGTGGGTGAACAACAAGGATACAGGAACATTTCTCTAGACAGAATCATCGTCGTGGATGAAATCGGTCCAATCCCGAGCACAAAAGCTCTTGACAAAAGACACGTCTTCGTCAACTTGGAGCAAGAATACTCCGCCTTGCAGGAGGAGCTACGAAGTTCAACAGACGAGGCTGTGTCACAGAAGCATGCCTCGAACCTGAAAATGTTCAAAGAGGCGCTGAGGCTGCTCCCAGCGTCGTCCTCGGCACTGCTGACAACTCCGCTCGAAGCGGCAAATTCAGCACGGTTGGCTGACGATGGAGTCTCCAGTGTTGGAACGCGAAGACAGAAGAATCCTCTAATCCACAACCTCTTGACAGACAAACCGGCATATTCTTCCTCTCTCCCGGCAGGGAGGTTGGGACAAGATGCGTCGGCAATGCCTCTGATCGCGTCGACCGTCGTGAAGCGAGGCATGCCAGTGACTATGTTACCTAATCCAGAAGCACAGACCTGGACAGCGGCCTCCAGGCCTCGCTTGCAATTGACGGATCCGAGGATTGACCTTGACCGACTCACGTATCTCATTGACGACTCTTTCAACAGGAAACTCGACGTCGAGGCCTATTTAGAACGGGTCAATGACCGTATCGCTGGTGTCATAATTGCAGGAGAATACGAAGGCGGCGCCATCCTGACCTGGGAAACGCCTCCTGGGTGCTCGGACAGCGACACCGATCGACTCGTTCCGTACCTCGACAAATTTGCCGTCCTGAAGAAATCTCAAGGCGCGGGTGGCGTGGCCGACATAGTGTTCAACGCAATGGTACGAACCTGCTTTCCCAACGGCGTCTGCTGGCGGAGTCGAAAAGACAATCCTGTCAATAAATGGTATTTTGAACGCTCGAGGGGAACATGGAAGATCCCAGGGACGAATTGGACAATGTTCTGGACCACGCCTGGCATCTTGGTCAGCGACGGGAACAGAAGCCAAACCTTTCTTGACTATGAAGGGGTTTGTCGAACGGTGAAGCCGACCTGGGCAGACGGGAAACGGATCGCCGATTAGATAGGATGCAATGAAGGAAGGATAATTACGTGAAAGTGCAAATCGAGCACGTTATGCTTGGTATACAAAGTCATCGTTGGACATCTCACAATCTATCATGAATGAGCCACGCTAAAAATAAATGAAGACACTATTTTGTACTCCCGAGAACTGTGGTCCCACCACCCTCGTGCAACCTTGTCCGCAGATGTGTCTCTTCTGCGCTCAGTGCCTGGACCGCCGGCACCTTTGCCTCGGCAGCGCCTCTCCTCTTCAACCTCTTCACATCCCCTCTCATCACGGCGAGAAGGTACACCTGGCTGACGAACTCGACTTGATTTCTCTGCTCTTCACCCTCCTCCGTGTCTGCAGGACCGTCTGTGCCCACAGGAGCGTGCCTCTTACACAGGCCATCCGCTCTGATCGATTCCGCCTTCTCGCCACGCTCTTGCTCTTCCGCTTCCGCTTCCGCTTCCGTTTCGACCTCGCTCTTGTTCTTCTTTGACTTGTCCTCCTCCTTCTTCTTACTGATCCACACGTTGCCCAGGAACAGGCTCGCCAGCAGACTGCACGCCAGGATCGGCAGGATGGAGGTAAACGCCCACATGGTCGCAGTGGCGCCTTGGGCGCGGATGGCCTCCTGCGTCGCGGCGGGCAACTCGTCAATCAAGTCCAGCGAGGCTTGCGTGTGCAGGTTGAACGAGGTCCCGCCTCCTGGGGAGTTCGAGGTGGCGTTAGTGATGATGACGACGGCATCAGCGCCGAAATACTCGCTCATCTGGTTCTGGAACACCGAGCCCATGATGGTGAGGGCCAAGGTGCCGCCAAAGGGCATGGCGAAGCGGAGGATCGAAAACACGGGCGCAATCTTGTCGCGGAACATGCCCGCCAGATGGAGGTTGGAGGGCATGAAGCGCATGCCCGTGCCCGCGCCGGCGACCGCCATCATGACGTTGACGAGCGTTTCGCTGCGCGCTTTGACCGCGTAGGCGAGCGCCGCGATGCCCGCCGTCTCGATTATCGTGCCGACGAGTAAGGGCGGGAATGTCTGGCGCGGGTGGACGTTGCAGATGAAGATGGCGACGTAGACGCCCACGCCGATGCCGGGGACGTAGTACAGCAGTTGGGTGCCCGCGTCGGATGCGTCGAAAGCTTCCACAAGCGTAAAGTAGATGCCGATGAAGTAGAAGACGCTGTAGATGGCGGCGCCCGTGGAGAAGGCGATCGCGCACACGAGGCTGACGTCCTTGGAGCGGAGGATTGAAGAAGGGATCATCGGGGCTGTGCCGCGCGGCAGCCGGCGGGCGAGGAAGCCAGATTCGTCGGAGAGCAGCATTTCATAGACGAGGAAGAGGATGAAGAAGATGGAGCCGAGGGTTAAGGACGAGAGCACCGCGCCTGACGACCACCGGTAGGTCGAGCCGCCCCAGGCGGTGCCGAGAATGAGGAGGCCGATGCCGAGGATGAAGAGGCAGATTCCGCCGTAGTCGAGCGTTGAAAGGCCCGATGCCAGTGCTTGGAGACGAGATTGGCCCACGGGTGGACGAGACACAGAGACCTTGCCGGGCTTGAGGTCGTTGCGGAGGAGGAAAATGCCGACGATGCTCAGGACGGACACGCCCGCGCAGAGCACGAAACAGTATCGCCAGTTCGAGTTGGTGAGGTAGCCGCCAATGACAGGACCGACACCTAGAGGAACCATCCCTGTTAGAAGTGGTGTTGGAGGAGTTGGATGAGATTGACGAAAAAGTTACCACTTACTGTACCCGATCCCGTTCAGCAACTGGAAAATACTCGTGTTGATGGCCTGCTCCCTGAGCGAGACCAAGTCGGCCAGAATGATCATCACAACGTTTGAGATACCCGCTGTTCCGATGCCCTGCAGTGCCCTCCCAAGTAACAAGACAGCCCAGTCCGGGGCAGCTGCGCAGAGCACGCTTCCGATGGCCAGAAGCACCACAGAGAACTGGAGGGTGGCATGGCGACCGAAGGTATCTGCCAACTGACCAAAGACTGGTATGAAGGCCGTGGACGTCAAGGTAAATGCAGTGACGATCCAATTGAGCTGGTTAAACTTGTCGAAATGAGACGCAATTTGCGGCAGGGCTGTTGCCACGATCGTCAAGTCGAGGCTGGCAACGAAGAATGCAGGGGTCAAACTGAGAAGGAGCTTCCACCGATATTTTCGGGCCTTGCTCTTCTCCCGCGCGCACTGTGCACATGGCTGTGCTTTCGGAGCCTTTGGTGGGAGGGGAATATCTCGTGCGGCATAGGGCGAATGTGAACCTGCATTGGGTCCTGCTTGTACTTGTGCTTGCTCCTCCGCTTCGGCAGCCTTGCGTGCACGGTACGCTCTGATTTTGCGATATGTGTAGACGATCATTGTGAGTTGCGCGAAGTCGTCGAAGGGTAACAATCAGTCTTACGAGAGTAAAGGGTCCCAAGAGACGACGAGTGGGAGTAAGGGCATGAAGTACTTGACAGGAGGACAGGGACGAGACATGATATAGCTGTCCTACCTGATCATCTCCCTTCTTTTGAACAGTCCGAGCCAGAATACGAGAGGCAACACGATACCTTTTTGTCGCTAGGGCCCAAACCACAGCCTCATCGCTTGGGGATTCGCCCGCGAGGCATTTCGCGAATAGAGCCTAAAACGGCATGGTCGATTTCGCGTTGCTTTGCTCAGGCCGAGACTAAGCCCAAAATGGAGCATTTGTCGAAGAACGCGAAGGAGTTCAATTGTTGCTCGTTGATTGATCTCTCTGCGACGAGCTTGGCTTTCGATCGAGAATCAATTCAGCCTCGCAAGGCCAAAAAGGTTTAATCTCTTTCAAGAGCATATTCCGAAAACCAGATTTGGAGATGAGAGAAGGGGCGACGATGACAGGCAGCTGAAAGGGAGAGAAAATAATGGTGCGGTCGGCAAAGCTTCCTCCGGCGTTGCCCTGGACTAATCCTCGCTGATTGGCTGAACATCTTTAACCAATTACTGCCAATTACTTCGCTTGTCACATACTCGTTTTCCCCTTGTGTCGTCTTTATTCCCGCCCTTCCCATCGCACCGCCGGATGAGATAGAACTACACCGAGGCAGGCATGCCGATATGCATCACCTGCAGCACTCCTGTCAAGGAGCTGTACACCGTGTACAGCAAAGCCGACGATCGAACTCTCGGGAAAGGAGTCCGCCTCACCCAGTGTCCCAACTGCAAGCGATTTGCCGACAAATATGTCGAGCATGACTTTGTCGTCTTGTTCATTGACCTGGTCTTGATCAAGCCCCAAGTATGTCCACCACCTTTCCCATTCGAGGAGCAGGGTTGACATACGAGCAGATCTACCGCCACCTCCTGTTCAACCGGCTCGGACGCTCGGACGACAAATTCGACCCGAGCATCTTGAGACTCGGCACGTTGCTAGTCCTCTTTGACGTGTACATCACCTGGGCACGCGTCGAGAAGTCCAATGCAGGGATCGGTGGCGGCCGAGTCGTCGACTCACGGCTCAGTGATATGCCCATCCTGGCACAATACTTCTTCTTCCTGACCATGAATATCCTGGCGACAGTCGCTCAGCATGGGATCATTCGCCTGTTGACGAGAATCCTGGTCTCTGATCGGTCAAGGCAGAGTCAGGTCCACGAGGCCGCGCCGCCAGCCCCGGCATCCACGACGACTGCGGAAGCCAGGCCAACGCTTGCGACGAGCCATGCGAACCCCAGCGCCATCAGCACCGCCCTGCTCGTCTCCAGCTGTACCAAGCTGTTCCCGATTTTGCTGGTCATATGGCCGACAGAGGCGAATGAGGGTGACCCGTTCGGGTTTGCGTTTCGAGCGACGAATTATGTGGGCTGGGCCGTGCTTCTCAACAACATCGAGGCCTTGTTGATTCTTCTCGACTGCGGGTATGTCATTGCGACGGCTTTGGCAGTCTCGGGGTTCATTGCAAGGTGGATGGTGGAAGGATGGTTCTTAAGCTTTGTAGGGTCGGCACGGGACACCGGTCCAGTGGGAGACCTTCTTGCCGCTTACTCCTTCATGAGAGCTTGGCTAGGTCAAGGTTGACGATGAGCAACTCTCCTCAACATAGAATTCATACTCCAACCCAGCAACCATGCGTACCTACAAGCGCCATTGGATAGTTAGAGTAAAATGGAAAGGGTTGTGGCGAAGGAGATCTTCTTCGGGCAATTCATCTATCAGTACTTCTGATTCATGCTCAACAGCACAATGCTGACCCTGCTTGCCTCAGGCAGGCAACATCGCGGATGGTACACGGACGCGCAGCTCATCACCCTCCTTAAAACCACCGGGAACTTTTCTTCTGACGCTTTGACTTGGCTTGCACATTCCCAGCCTTGCCCTGATGTTTCTACAGTACCCCGGAACAAAAGACTGGATCTAAATGTAGTTTCCAAGCCTTCCGACCCCAACCAGCCCCACCAAGCACAAATCCCAAGGACCTGACTGAACGACAGAATACAATCTTACATGGCACACTCGTGAATTCCACTCGGCCCCAACTCGTTATACTCACTCCGACTCAAAAAGCCTTTACTGTTGCCTTGATCCACGATAAACACAACCTTCGCCGCCACCTGGGCGCCCAAGAAACTCGCCTCTTCCATGCCGGCTACGGCCGGGTTCTTCCACTCAGGGAAGTACTCGGGCGGCTTGACAGTTTTAATACTCGTCGGGGATTGGCTGTGCCCGCGGTGGTGGTGCGAAGACAAGGGGTGGTTGGGGTCTAGGGAGGCAGGTGTGCCAATGCCAGTCGCCGTGTTGGGCACGGCCAAATGTTGTGGGTTGGGTTGCATCATATTCTTCGTTGCGGCTACTAGTAGTGGGTTGACACCGTGGCCAGCGGGATGATAGAGAAGGTGGTTCCCTTGGCCCGGGACGGGGGTGTTTGTGCCGGGGGTGGCGACGGGCGTCGTGAAGTTGGAGGGGAGTTCGGAGGTGAAAATTGTGGCGGTGGAAGGTGAGAGGATGTAGCGTGAGTTGAGAGCAGCTAATAGCGCGGGTGTGAAGCCTAGAGTATCGTTTAGCAGCTGCCGATAACATGAGATAGGGGGATGGGACGTGTGGTACCTCTGACTCGGCTTCCGTTGCCCAGCACGATCAGATTGTCCCAGAGGTTTGCTCGTTGAGGGACATCAGGCACGCTTAAGATAGCATGATGGATCGCTTCCGCAACGACATCGATAATACCATCGCACGTGCCAGGCGGAGGATTTGTCGCCATAAACCGCTCCACCCCAACTTCCACCTCTCGCTTACGTTTCCGGCTCAATGGTTGCTCGGTCGCAGATTCTTCATCAAGGGGGATGTAGTCAACGTAGGTGAAGGTAGCTCGCTCTCTCTCGGAGTTTCGCAGCCGAATTGGTCTGGGCCCTTCAGCAGCCGAGCCTTTCTTTGCTGCTGCCTTTTCGGCCTTTTCTCGTTCCCGCTTGGCAAGCACTTCTGCGGCGTTGTCGCGGGCTACGATCGCCGCAACGTCGAGGACACCTTCATTATCCTCATCTTCTCCATTTGCACCTTCTTCACCAACGGTTGTGCCAACGCCGGGTCCTCGAGGCGCCTGTCCCGGTCTCAGGCCCTCCCCATCTTTTGCGCCGGCTCCGGAATCCAGTGCGCCAGTAGAAGCCGCGGCAGCGGGGTTGACAGTAGGAGGTGGCTTGCCATTCGGAGTAGCCTGTGGATACGGTGTCCCGGGAGGTAGAATTTCGCAGATGGGACTCTTCTTCAACTGCTCGGCCATGTCCTCGTCAAATCCCTGCTTTTCCAGGGCCTCTAGTAGCCGCCGGGTCATAGATCGCCCCCCACATTCGGCGAGAGCAGTGCCGCGTCCAATATCATTAACTTGGAATTCCGTCACAGCACTGACGTCGCATTTCTCATGGCCGACATCCACGACCAACGCCGTGGGCACTCCATACGCATAACAAGCTGTCAAGGCCGAATCCATCAGACAGAATGCGGGGATCTTCCAGTTCTCGAATACGTATTGGGTAATCATTTCGTGATCGCGGGCTGACCAACACGGTTGCGCGACGAATAATACCGGCATGTGGAAAGGTGGGGATATCATGTTGTAGATATGGCTGAGAAGGGCGAAGAAGCAGGACCAGTTTTCTATATGGCCTGCCACTATGGGGTAAACGGCACCTTCTGTGGACCAGTGGTCATCTTCGAATGTCTCAGTGGTTTCGTCTTCGACAATCGTCGTGGCAGACGGGTCTTCTTGAGCAGGTTCAGCTTGGGTTTGGGGTTGTTCTACAGAAGTTGGTTCCATTTCTGTGTCCTGTGTTTCTGGTCTTGGGCGTTCTTCAGCGGGAGGTGCTTCGTTCATCTCGACATCTTCCTCAACGACCGGAGCGCCGTTCGACTTTTCGCCGCTGGCCTGGTCGGCATCCTGCTGTTCGGGACCAGGTTGCTCGCCGTTCGGCTGCTCGCCTTTTGGTGGTTCCTCCGCATTGGCTTGCTCAACCTTGGGCTGTTCGCCATTGGCCTGGTCCGCTATTGATTCGACATTCTGCGGTTCCCCATCCGTCGTAACGTCGGGCTTCGAGTCGACTTCAGCCGATCCTCCCTCAACGGGCTCAATTGTAGGGATGGCTTCCACCACTTTCGGCTTGGTTGTAATCTTCGTCCGGATCTTGACTGGTTCCCACTCTCCAGGGTTGGTGCCCGGGAACATGCGCGTAGGGAAGCGATATCTTGGAGGCGTAAATGACTCTGGTAGCCCAAGTTGAGCTGCGGTCATCTGCGACCCGGGCGCAATGATCTAGGCGAGAGTGTTAGTGAAGGTGGTTAGGCTGATGCGCGGCGCGCTGAAAAAACTTACGAGCACATGCTCATCCTTGAATGGAGGCATCAGTGCGTCGTGCAGGCACAACTACTGCGTATCACCCCTCGTCAACTTTCTAGCGCCGCCAGTCGCACGTCTCGAAGGCCGCTGTGTTCGCGTTCCTCACTTCCCAAGGTGCGACGCGACCGTATTTTTGCCAAGGGCCTGTGTACGGCGAAGCACTAGCAGCCCTTAGGCAATTTGCACGTGATTGGCGCGAGGAATATTTCAACCAAATATCATGGAACAGGACTTTGGAAAATCCAAGCGAACCGGCAGACCGCAGAATAGATTGGATTGAAACGCTTTTGATTGATCTCGTCTCATCTATCTGATTTCATTATCAAATCTCAGTGGACCTCCTGTGCTGATATCCAGCCGTTGTCAGCCTCCTCGCGGCTACTGATACAAGTTCCCTGCCAAAGAGATGAACTTCTGGCAACGGCTCCCAAATCCACGCCAGCCATAACCCTCAAGTCCGGAACGCCGGCCTCATCGTGTACTCCATTCTCCCACACTTGACGTCGTATTTTTCGATGTTCTTTCTCCAACCGTAGGATAACCCACTTGATCGTCATTAGACTCGACCATGTCCACCGACGATCGGGGTCTGCCGCAAAGCCCTCCTCGCTAACCACTTGCTGCAAAGCCCGGTCTGTCGCAGTCAGTAAGAGACGCGCCATGTGTGGGCTGCAAGCTAGTAGTCGACTCAGAAGCTTCATACGAAAGACCGCCGGTCTGGTCGGTGTCGAAGGCATCGAAATCAAAGAATGAATTAGTGGGAAGTTGGTCAGGATGGAGGAGAAATCCTGCTCCGTCGAGGTCATTGACAATCGCTGCGCCAAAATCTGGAACAGCTGACACATCGGTAAGAGCGTTGTCGTCGAGAAGGAGTGAAATATCGTCAAAGTCTGGAAGACCTGAAGCAGGTAGCTGATCCCAAGATTGCTCTTGGTCGTCGAAGGAAACGCTGGCAGGCTGATAGCCCAAGTCTCCGGCTGACACTGCAGGTCACACAATACCACAGCAGGATATTGTGTCATACCGGAGACATTGGGGAAGCCAGGGAGCGACGTCATCGACTGTGAGTTTGTCTGCTCTGCTTCGGGATGTTCGTGGATGAGGTTGAGTTGAGGGGCAAGGACCGGTGATTCATGCTTCACTGGTGTCGATTGTTCAGATTGAACCAGAATAGGTCGGACAGCCTCCACTTCAGTGCTGTCGTTGAACGAGGACGGAGTGAAGGGCGCTGGAGTGGTGTTGGATCGGAGGTCTGAGGGAGATGGTGCTGAGTCGAGATCAACTAGGGGAGGTTCGGTGGGAAGAGGTACGGGAAAGTCTGCTTGAACACCGAACCTCGACTGATAACGATCAAGCAGTTCTCGGAGCGCGGCGTTTTCTTTTTCTATCCGAATTTGCCGTATCTCGAGCTCAGCGACAGCAGCTTTTTGGCGTTGTCGAGACTTGTCTGCTGCCCTACGGTTTCTCAGAATTCTTTCATTCTTTCTCTGCTCCTTCTCCTCTGCTGTCTTCGCTCGTTTCCGAGGAGGAAGAATCTGCTTGATCTCTGGAACAGGTTGACCCCAGGCCTTCCGCTTCTTCTTCGTCGGTTGTTCAGAGGCTGGTTGGCTGGTCTCTCGGCCATCGTCTGACATAGGTGGTGTCGTTGGGTAGGTCTGGCTGTAGCCAGCTACGCTGAGGGTGGAAGGGTCGACAATGTCTGATGGGCCAGCCATGGTATTATGATGGATGATATGTCCGGACGGATGAGGTGACGCACGGAAGAGGGTAGTTGGAATGAGGATTGTGCGGTGTTTTTGACGTGCTGGCCACAAGAGACCACCTGTCCTCACGGCGGGCTCATGGTGACACAGGCCCCCATGGGTCGAAGTATAAATTGGACAGAACCATCAAAAGTGAAGTGGGAGGAAAGGCAATGCGTGAAGGCTGTTTCTGCGTGATGAAATTGAGAATGTGCCTGCGTGTGGGAGCAGGCAGCGCAATAAATAAAGGACAAGGTGTCAAGAATTCAGGTGCCACTGGCAATGCGATGCAGGGGCTCAAGGGATGGCTGGGGCTCGCCCGGGGATAGCAACGAATCACAGTCCTGATCCTATTCTTGCCCGCCAGTGAGGACCACGGGCCTGAAACCGAGTCGCTCGCAGTACGGAGTAGCCATCACCCTATTCATCCTTGCATCAGCCCTCGCATTCCTCATACTCAGCTCGGCTTTCTCAGCCTCAGACTCGTCAGCTTCAACTCCTTGTCCCACCGGTTGTGTGACGAATCTCAGATGCCGCTGCTTCTGCGGAAGTTCTGGGTACTGAGTAATTACTCCGTACCGCAGGAGACGAGCAATCTGTACTCCGTACTCCTTCCTCCCTACTGTGTGTGGGTTACTCGTACCACACTGTGCTCTGCGCGACGCAGGGGTTCTTCTCCACTGTCAGCACAGGTTGATGGCCTCTACCTCGTACGAGGACTCCAGGGTCAATATTTCGGATTGTCTCGCTTTGACCACATACTCCAATCGCAATGTCAATGGTCGAGGTCCGCCTCACCGGGCAATATCAGTTACAACTCTGCAGAGCACGAAGACACCACAGACCAGACTTGCTGACATGCAGATATTCGCTGCCCGTACGGGATTATACACTCGATAATCTCACGCCTTGCATGCAACTCTAGGCTCCAGTGTTCTTCTGCGAAACAAGACAACTCCGGTGGTTTCCAATGAATTGTGTTATCTCATTCTGCTATTTCTCGCGTCTACCTCTCGGCAAATGCGGAAATGGGGTATCTCTGTAAGTCGACTTTTCTGACCGTGACCGCCAAACCGAATTGTTCGTGTCCGATGTGCAAAACACCTGGCCGATTTTGGTTTTTCACTCTCCGAGACCGTGCGTATGCCATAACCTGCGCCATTGGAAGTGTCTGTCGCCACATGCATAAACTCCTGTCATCCTGGCCATGCATAACGCCGCCGTGAAGTAGTCGTGTCCAATAATTCCAAGATAGATCGCTACACCCTGACTCAGCTGTGCTGGAGATTCACTGGTGCATTCAACACGCGCTTCTTCATCCACTCTGGATCACCGTGCAGCTTTTCTTGGTAAATTTCATCAACAAGGTCGCTCACCAGGTCTTCGACAATTTGCTCCTTGTAGCGGTCACCAAAGGGACGGGCAGCTGGATGTGGTGGGCCATCTCTGTCGTACCCATACCACCAGGGCCCGTCGAATTTGCATTCAATGGCACCGCCAGTGTAGTGACTAATCGCCGGATAGTAGCCAAGCAGGCCGTCATCAACGTCGCTCTGGCCTGCAGCCGCGACCCGGCTCCCTTTATCAATGTAAGATGCCGGCGGCAAGAAGGCGAAAAGATGTTCCCAAATGACCCCATGATATTTGCCGTTGACCCACAGTTCGATCTTGCTGCCGGGGAGAGTTCGCAGATGAGGAAGTTCGTGGTTAGGATGAGCTTCGGTCAAGAGGTCATACCTCTTCCCAGTTTCGGGGTTGATGGACTTGTTCTTTGCGTTCAAGGTCGGGCGACTCAAATCGGGGTTCGGTGTGTATTCCGGACATTCGAAGTAGGTCATACCCTTATGCAGGAACGGGTTGCGGTCGCGGATGATATCGTGATCGGAAGGAATTTTGCACCCAGACACTGCAGTAAGCGTGGCGCGAATCTCTGCACGAGCATTGCTGGCCTTCTTGACAAGGTCATCTCTGGTCTTAGCACCGTCGGCACCGTCCTTGGACTTCAAGCCGCTCTTAGAAGCTTTCTTCCCAGCACCCTGCTTCTTTTTGATCACGGCTGGACCGCACTTGAGCTCAGGATACTCTGCTGGATTAAATGTGCCATCAACAACCTTCTTGTGTACCTCAAGCGGCGGCAAGGTGATCATGAGACCAACAACATCACCAGGCGACAGATCATCAAAATCCTGCCCGCCTTCGCCCTGCATGTGGTGCATGCCGGTATTAAAACGAACGCTCCCATACTCTTTCGCTCTGCCACTTCTCAAGACGACAGCGTATGAGTACGCATTGGTTCCCATGTTCTCGCTCCAATGATGTTCGCGCCGACAGAGCCCAACTCTCAGACCGCCTCGATTGGTTGCGCCTCTATCAGCGGTCTGTGTCTCGGCAAGTGCACGGTTTGGGTCTTCTCTCCCAGGCGGGGCGATGCTGATGACCTTGGCCTCGAAGAAGAACTGGCCTTCTCTCGCAAACACGTTGGCTCTTGTGGTGTAGCTGCCGTACTCTCCGCTCTTGCCCAGCATATCCCTCGTAAATACATTCTTCAGGTTCTCGACGCCGCATTGAGGATGGTTCTCGTCGCTCAGACGGGCGTAATGTGGGGGGGCTTCGTCGGCATGGAAATAGAATGTTTCCGGATCTCGTTTGGCGCGGATGTAGTACCGCTTCTCCTTGCTCTCGACACTACGTTGTCCACATGTCAGCCATTGTACATGCGTGACGGGAGGGCGGTCGCCTACTGTGTGCCTAGTGTGCAGAAGTCAATCTTGTCGCCATTTGGAGAGACCTTGGTGTGATCCAAAAACTTCGGGATCTCCTTTTGATCTTGCAGGAATTTGGGGTCATTGGGTGCAATGTACGTGGGAAGCACTACCAGCTTCTCATCTTCGATCTTGTCAATCTTGCCCGAGACTTGCTCCTTGACTTTCTCGCTCGGCTTCTTCTCGCGGTGTCCGCGGCCGGAAATCTCGTCCATGCCGGCCTTCTCTGGCTCGGGAGGCATGCGCATAGGTTCCGGCTCAGACTTTGACTGGAGTCTCTCTCTACCACGAGAAGAGGGGACCTTGAAGGAGACTCGCTTGCGCGGATGGGCGTCCATTGTCGCGTTCCAGATGCAGAAAGGTTGCTATGCGTCACCGTACTGGCTGAACTTCGGCTGAACTTCAGTTCACTTGAAGCGGGAGCTTTGGAGATTGAATTCACTTTGATGCTACTGGCAAAGTCATTATCTTCCCACTGTATGCTGCTAGCAGATATAGGCAACATTCTCTCCTTGTTCTTCTCCCATTGCTTTGAAATCCTCTTCTTTCTCTTATAATGCGGCGACGCGGCTCCATCGCAGAGTGTGTGTGTTCAACCCAAACTTAAGGTATCTCCTGGCGGTTTCCCATTGTCCCTGCAATGTTCTCATCTGTAGTATCTCCAATGAGGATGTTTCTCCATCAGGCCATCCTCGTCGAAATTGATCACACGATCTGTCGGAGGTGGCCCGGTTGCCGCATCTCTCCTCTTGTTCTCGCGGATGTTGATGAACGTCATGACTGCGGAACCGGTACCTGTGAAGCATGTACATGCAAACAGGACCCAGAAACCCATCTTGTACTCCGGAGCATCTTTTGCTGGGAACAGATAGCCGGTCGCTACGCCCATGGTCGATCCGAAAGCTTGGAACAATCCTGTTGCGATTCCTTTCTTGATGTCTCCACAGCAGTTGCCTGTGATGTTGCCGACTGACAGGGTCACGCCAGAAAGGATCCCAGTAAGGACCAGGAAAGTGGCTCCATAACGGGCATGGTTGTTTTCATTGGGAAGAAGGACAAGCATCAGGTCCCCAGTTGCCGCAACAATTGAGTTGATGACTAGCAAGCCAGAACATGACTTGAAGCGGTCGGAGAGATACCCGACCACAAATACCATCACGAACGCCACGCAGTATGGTGGTGCAACCATGAGCTGGGCCTTGACATTGTCGAACCCCATCGTGTTCACGATGATAGGGGTGAACGTTGCGATGGTGTACGTGGATACGACTTGGCACATGTAAATGGCAATGTTCATCCACATACGCCAGTCCATGAGCTGCTTGAGGACAGTAGACCAGTGGATCTTGCCGTGTGTGCGGTTTCCATCGCGCATCATGCGCCAGTCGGCCACGTCGCGCTCCCGGGGCGTAAGCCATTTGGTGTTGTGTGGGCGATCGGGAAGAACCCAGATGCAAAGGACACCAAAGGCAATGGTGAGCAGACCCTCCAGAATAAAGAGGACCTGCCAGTTCTCGATGTTAGGGTTCTCGATGTGTGCAACGCCGTAGGCAATCCAGCCTCCGAAAGCGCCCGCGATAGGAGTCGCAGACAGATAGACACAGATACGCTTTCCCCACTCAGCTCGAGGGTACATCTGACCGCTACGGTTAGTATGGGCGTCGCTAGAGCACCGATTCAACAACATACCACCGTCGTCAAGTATGGAGCACCCGAAATGAAAGCTGCTTCGAAGATACCAAGGAAGAATCTAATGGCATACATGCCTCCCGGTCCGCCTGCGACTGCTTGAAGCGTGGCCACGATGCCCCAAATGATCTGCCAACCAGTCAAGAGCTGTCACATCGCGGATTGTTCTTGGACTCAGACCTACCATTGCACCAGCGAGGTAGAGACTCGGACGGATATATCTCATGCCGATGTTGGTGAACAGGTCGGCCACGCATGTCCCAACGAAAAACATGCTCACAGCCAGACTGAATTGAGGTCCGGAGATGTTGAGATCGGTCTTGATATCCATCAATGCGGCGTTTCCTCCATGGACGACTTAGCCTCTCGGTCTTGCAATCGAACTTGGGTAAACTCACCAAGGGCGCCTCTGTCTAACCAGGTGAAGATGTACAAGACCGTCAGAAATGGGGGTAGTCGAAGGTCAATCTTTCTTCTTACGCGTCGCACTTCGTCTGGCGTCACTGGCGGATCGAGGTTGTTCAATCTGTCGACCAGCTGTTCATGCTCTGCCACCTTCTCCACATGGACGCCTTGGGCGTCAATGGTCATCTCTTTGGACATGTTGATGGGTTCTGGAAGGGTTGCCACGCCAGCCATCATGGATGGTGATATCGCAGAGCTTGCGGGACAGGGAGAAGATATGAAACAAAGGAGGAGAACTGGAGGTTGCCCTCAATTTGAAGCAGATGGCGGTAAGCCGAAGAATGACCACATGCTGGAGAAGTGCCGATCTTCGCCTGTGTTGCAACCATATTCCAACTCCCTTCCATTTCGCGAACCCTTCGCAGCATCGGCAAAGACGCCGTCGGCTACTTGGGTACTTCTACCGCCCGCCAAGGTGGTGGTTTCTTGTCATGAGGTTCTCCGTGACAAGCTGGATGGCTGGAATGAATATCCTTGTTACTGGCGAGCAGCTGGCACGCTGTAAAAGGCTAAGGCTGTACCCACTGGTGTAGTACTTGGACAGGAAGAGAAACGACATGCATGCCGTCTATCATTCTCCACATGGGGAAGTGGATATCAAGTCCTCCGCACGCCCAGAACGTGGCAAGGCGGTGCATGAGCCGGTGGAAGTGAACAGCGGAAAGCTGTGCTAAAGGGGCGAAAATGATCATCCAGCCTAGACGTCGATCGGTATTGGTTGTCGGAGTCGATCGTCGCTGCCCACATCAAAGGGGTGCCAGTTCCAAGCTGCACCCTCCTCGCATCCTGCCATTGAGCCTGCGTTGAGCGAGAGGGAACAAGCAGCCATGGCACTTCGTTGCGGACCAGGTCGTGACCTTTGCGGACGACAACCTCATTCTGCTCGTGAGAAACAAGCACCGCGAAGCAAGCATGGCACGGTCGTGCCGTCCTATCCATACGAAGTGCAGTAGCCCGCCTTCTTCGTATGGCGCAAACTGGAAGCTTTTCAATTCCCATGCCATTGGAAACTCGGGACAGTGATAGCCGAGTTGGCGTCTCGTCTCTCGTCTGGCACCACTGTAGTGCTGCTTGGCCGACATTTGATGGCTCTTCCCAGCTCCTACACTACACCCAGAGCACGACGACGGAGACCTCCCCGCAATGTCGGTCCTGTGCAGAATGCAGCACCCCTGTCCTCCTCCCCCACAGATATGGGGGAGCTGCCGCTTCTTCCACCTAGCCTCGGTTACTGCCTACCCCGCGGGGGCGGATATCGAAGGTCATCCGAGCTCGGCCTCTTGTGGTGTTACGACAAAGTCGTCCAGCTATAGACGACAGACTATAAAAGGGAACTCATGTCTTATCGGCAAGCCGGCAGAACGTGCTGAGAGGCTGCGGCGGGAAAGTCCGCCATCATCTTCGAGCAATCGCCGCTTATCTCTCTGAGATCGGGGTCATCGCCCGCGGGGGCGGCATTAATTGATCGTACATCTTCGCAAACTTGCGCCAGAGGGACACGCTCACCTGAGGTGGATGCTGTACCCTGGTTCATGACGTCCTTCCACAGTAAATGAGGAATCAAGAGCCTACAGATATATGTACCACTACGCCCGAAGGATCGTTCAACGTTAAGACGACAGTTTTGAGCCTCAGTTGTGTGAAAGCTGCGAGCCGTCAGCACACTGTACACGATGCCTCACGCTACAAATACTGAGTATCACCACATTCAGCTCAAGAAGCTAGCACCCACCTTTGCTGCCGAGGTCACCGGCGTTGATTTCTCCAAGCCGGTAGAGAAAGAGGTCTTCGACGAGGTACACCGGGCCATCGTGGATGTATGTCACAATGCCAGTTGCATTCTTTCGTGGTCCTCGTGCCTACCATGCCGGTGCTAACATGATGCTGGCAGTACGGGGTGCTCGTCTTCCGCAATGCCGGTCTCGACGATGCCCACCACGTTGCCTTTGCCGCCTTATTCGGCGAGCTAGACGATGTTAAGCCCTACCTCGCGATGGGCCGCAAGAACAGATTTCCCTTTGACGAACTGTTCGACGTGTCCAACCAAGAGGATGACGGCTCGCTTGTCAAGCTCGGCAGCAAACGACACCACATGGGTCTGGTAAGCCCGACCGTCTGGGGTGGCGCGGCGAAATCGCGAGGAAAGCTCACCAAGGGAACAGGGCAACTCGATCTTCCATGTCGATTCGAGTTTCAATCCTCGGCGAGCAGGCTACAGTCTCCTGCGCGCCCACCAACTCCCGCCGAGAGGACACGGCGGCAATACGGATTTCGCAGACACCAGAACCGCGTTCGACGAATTACCTGAAGATCTAAGGAAAGATCTCCTGGAGAACGAATATATCGGCGCCCACAGCTTGATGCATTCCAGGAAGAAAGCGGCCCCCAAGGACAGCGAATGGCTTCGGGACATCGATCCAGAAAAGTTTCCTTTTGGGCGTCACGACGTCGTCCAGACCCATCGGCCTAGTGGCCGTCCGAATCTCTACATCGCCAACCACATGCATCATTTGGAGTACAAGAAGCCTAGGTCCACGAGCTTCACTCCCACCAAAGAGCAGCCGTTCGAGCGTGTGCCAGAGCCGAAGGGCACGGAACTCATTGAAAGATTGCTCGCTCATGCTTCGCAGCCCAAGTATGTTATCAGCGTCGAGTGGGAAAACGAAGGAGATCTCGTAGTTTGGGACAATACCTGCGTCATGCACAAGGCCGGCGAGGGCACTTTCATGGAAAAATATGCTCGGGACATGAGGAGGTGCACCGTTCATGACGGGAGTATCGATGCGTGGGGTCATAATGAGAGGACGACGAAGAGGATGGGGTTGCCGTGACTGTAAGCAAGCACAAGCGCGCATCATCATCAGTATCGGCATACAGTAAAGGCGCAGGCCAGCGCTGATAGTGTTGAGAAGCCAGAAACATGAGTAATAGCTTTGGCAGTTCGTGAGCACGCTCAACGACCACGTCGTGTGTTAAGAGATTGTAGCTATGCGGGCACAGGTCTCGCTTTACCGAAATGTGTTTTATTATATAGAATGATATGTAACGACCCTGCTCTCCTCTCGGCCCCCAGATCAATACCCGAAGCTGAAGTTGCAGTCGGAGTCCACACCGGCGAAAGGCCGTACACGTACACATCGACCACCCCAAGTACCGCCTGCAGTCCGACTCTAGAGATCGGAAGCCAGCAAAGGAAAGTACTGGACTTGGTTGCGCATGTTGTCGAGGGAGTCGAGTCGAGGCTGCATAGCATTTGTTTGGTAATAACTACCGCACCGCTGATGCCGCACAATTGCAAGCGACACGAAGGACCAAGTACAGCGTGACTCCTGAGGTCACTTCTTGTTTCTCCGACAATGTCATTTCTGCTGGAGGCGTCGCCTTGCCTGAAGGAGGCTACACTTCGGGGCAGTCTAAGACCGGGAGCCGCCACCGCGGCATCCATACGGCGGAGGGTCGGCGGATGGGGGACATTCGTGATCTCTGTGCGGGAGAAGCAGAGGCACGGGCAGAAGCTGAAACAGGAGCAGAAGCAGCCGTTCAGCGTCTGTTCGAGGAAGTACCGAGAGCGCGTTGACACAAGCATCGACGTCTCTGGGCAAGGCGCCTCCAAGGTCTACAAGAGTGCCGACGACGCGATTGCGGATCTCCAGGACGGGAGTGTCATTTTGTCGGCTGGCTTCGGGCTCTCTGGCGTGGCGGGTATGTATACACACACATAAACCTGTGCAAGCGTGACACGCATCTACGCTCGTGTCTGGCTGTGATCCCGGATCTGGCTTGTATATGATCTCACTGACCTCGCAACCCGCAGAAACCCTCATCGACGCCATCCGCCGCAAAGGCACGCGCAATCTCACCGTCGTGTCCAACAACGCCGGGGCCGGCGAGCACGGCCTCGCCAAACTCAGCCCGACAGGCCAGGTGTCGCGCTGGATCGTCTCCTTCATCGGCAACAACAAGCCGCTGGGCAAACAGTACCACGAGGGCAAAGTCGTCGTGGAGCTATGCCCACAGGGAACCATCGCCGAGCGTCTCCGTGCCGCCGGGGCCGGGATACCCGCGTTCTTCACCGCCACGGGGGCACGCACGCTGATCGAGACGGGCGGGATCCCGCATCGCCTGGGGCCGCGCGACGCCGCGACGGGCAAACACGCCGTCGCCGAGGCGGGCCGTCCGCGCGAGACCCGCATCTTCGATGGGCGGACGTACCTGCTCGAAACGGCGCTGCGGGGGGACGTGGCGATCGTGCGCGCCTGGAAGGTCGACACCGCGGGCAACTGCATCTTCCGCTCGACGACCAAGACGTACGGCGTGCTCATGCCCAAGGCCGCCCAGCTGGCCATCGTCGAGGCCGAACACGTCGTCCCCGTGGGCAGCCTGCATCCCGACCACATCGACCTGCCGGGGATCTATATCGACCGGATCTGCCCTGCCACGTCGGCCAAGCATATCGAGAAGATCGTGTTGAGCGCGAAGGACCGCGACGCCGACGCAACTCCGTCGCAGAAGAATGGCGGCGGCGGGAAGAACAACGACGACGACGAAGCCAACAAACGCACACGCATCGCGCGCCGCGCGGCCCGCGAACTCAAGGACGGCTCGTACGTCAACCTCGGCGTCGGCATCCCCACGCTGGCGCCCTCGTTCCTCCCCTCCACCACCAAGGTGTGGCTGCAGTCCGAGAACGGGATCGTGGGCATGGGGCCGTACCCGCGCACGCTCGCCGAGGCCGACCCGGACACCATCAACGCGGGCAAGGAGGCCGTCACGCTGGTTCCCGGCGCCAGCACCTTCGACAGCGCCGAATCGTTCGGCATGATCCGTGGCGGACACATCGACGTGTCTCTCCTCGGCGCCTTGCAGGTGAGTGCCTCGGGCGACCTGGCCAACTATATCATCCCGGGCAAGGCTTTCAACGGCATGGGTGGTGCCATGGATCTCGTGTCGAACCCGGATAAGACCAAGATCATCGTCTGCACCTACCACACGGACAGGGAAGGGCGGAGTAAGATTGTCGACGAGTGTGAGTTGCCGTTGACAGGGAAGGGAGTCGTCAGCCTGATCATCACGGAGCTGGCCGTGTTTGAAGTCGACCGGACGGGCGGCACGGGGTTAGTGCTGAAGGAGGTGGCGGAGGGGGTGACTGTCGACGACGTGAGGGAGAGGACGAGCGCGAGATTCACTGTCGCCGAGGAGGTTGGCACCTTTTGAACGGACGGGACGAGTGGAGACGTGGCAGTGAGGCCTCTTTGGACCGTTGCCACGGAGGACAAGTCATCTTGAAATAGACCGACTACATCATTAGATATATCTAGAAACGTCAATCGATATCTCGTATATCATACATCACACATCACATGGTGTACATCGAGTATCTAGCATACTCTTTGAGCGTCGCTCTTAGATCTTCGACCAAGCCAGCAGGAATCCGCAACCAAGGCATGACCGCACTCTACGCTGGGCATCCTTTCCTTTCCACCACAGCTTCGGCCAAGACAAGTCACCTCAAAAGCGCATCCATCCCCCCGCATCAGCCACTGGTAAATGCCTGTACGTGTTCCTGAGCTGGATCCGAGGCTGCATGTGTCCACTGAGATATGTCTCCGCCCACATCAGGCCACGCTCGAGATGCTGAACACCCATAATACCTTGGGCTGAGTTTATTCGGCCGAATCCGTTCGTCCTGATACTGGAATGTCGGGGATAGTGATGGAGACGGCCTTATTTAGGGGCGGTCTAGAAGCATTGCGCCATTGCCGAGGACGTCGAGGTCGAGCGCGCCATTGGAGCTGTATGAACGTTTTAGCCCAACGCAGTCAGTGTTATGACAACCAAACTGCCTGAACAACACGTACAGGGACATGCGATTCGTCGCCTGAAATGAATCTGAGGCAGACATCAGGTTCGACGGCTTGAGAGCGTAGCATCCCATTCTGCACCCACGTCATGGTCCATGTTAACAGTTCTAGCGAGGATCAATTAGCTTTACTTTGGGCAGTACTTTCTGCTGATTCACGCGGGGGATGAGTACAGTAGCTCAACTATATGAAGCAGGAATGGATCATCAAGATAAGCAAGTGACCGCTGCGGGTATGCTCCAAGATGCTCATGGCGACGTTGGTCTCCTCTCGTGAAAGGAGACAAACATGAAGACGTGTCGAGCCTCGCAGTGTCGAGCTGTACCCATCCCCGTGCGAAGCTGCCACATGCCTTCGGGTCGGCGACAAGCGAAAAGCCTCAGACCCGACCGATGCATGAAGTATGCCGGCACGCTGGTCAACAAGGGTAACGGATAAGGCGCTTGAGGAGACCGATGTCGCCCTTGTCACGACGTGCCACCGAACCGCCCCATGCGCAGTAAGCTAGTAGGACTGTGCAAGTAACAAAGTAATTAGGTGGAAGATCGAAAAGGGGAGACCAGCAAAGATGGAAAGGGCGTGCCGAAGCATCGGGGTCACGGGATCTGCGGGATGCTTGGCATGTTTGGAGAGTTGGCATACTTGGCATGTGACCGCAAGGCTTGCTCAGAGCCTCCTCGCTGCCACCGGCCTGTCACCTTTTGTCCCTCTCCTCGTCTATCGACATCGACGCAGCACATTCGAGTGCGAATCCAAACATGCGCAGCAGAAACCCGGAGCACTGATAGCCAAACTCAATGCAGTGCGGCGCGTTCTTCATCAGCCTGCTTTCCACCCACGGCGAGGACGTGAAGGCGTCAGTAAACTCGTTCATGGTCTCTGCACTCAAATGCCAGAGGTTATCGAACTCGCCCATCGAGTAGAGGACCTGGACTTGAACATCCCCGGCGTACGACCTCCAATATGTGGGCCACTGCATGTTGATGTCGTAGATCTCCTCGACCGGAGTGGGATGGTGGCATGTGCTCGCATTCCAAACCGCGGGATTTGCCACTTTCTGGTCGTCCGCAACAGCAAGCGATGTCAATAATTCCCGCGGAATCGACAACTGCTTCCCCTTCATGCTTTCGTCCTCAAACAACGGCTTGAGGGGCTCGGTCTTCGGCGCAGAACCCATAGCCGAGAGAACCAAGCCGGCAAGCTTATATCGGGCTGGGTCTTTCGCGTGAATGCCCGCCGCGACGGTGCACACGGCGCCACCGATCGATTCGCCGTATAGCACGATTGAAGAGACGTTCAACGGGGCAGAGTACTCCTTCCATATCGCCGGAAGGGCCAGCTCATGCAACCATCGACCATGGCGTTGGATGAAGGTGCTCAATTTGTCTGCTTTATCGTCCGCGAGGGGCAAAGTCCCGCCGTAAGCCGGTCGGTTGATGGTGACCACTGGGACGCCCAAGACTTCGCTGAAACGACGCACCGAATGTTTCGAACCGGCGTCGAAGAAATCGCACGTACAGCCACCGCCATGCACTAGAACGAGCAATGGCACAGCGGGGGACGAAAGCTCCAACGCGGGCTGGAGCTTGAGATAGGTCTTGCCCGTGAGCAGTGACCCATCGGCCAATTCCAAAGACAACTCCGCCATGAGGCAAGTCGATATCGGTGCCAGCTCGCCGACTTCGGTAAGAGGCCTTTGGCCAAGGCAGCAGCTGAAATACTCTGGTGTAGACCCTGCATGCCTGAAGAAGGCAAGCGGTTCAAAATATCGAATGTACACAGTAAGTCATACTCGAGCTCTGACGGTGTGACGAGTACAGCGTCGTCTGTGAACCCCGTGGACGGTTGTTCTATTGACTGCACCCCTCAAACCCCCACAGCCTGCATTCGCGGGGCAACACTTGGGTGACAAGCGGAAGTATAAGGCATTCTCATTGCTCGGGAAGACCTAGTCACTGGCGTCTGAGGCCTTACCTTGGCGTTGACCAGAAGGATAGCGAGCGTGCGTAAGTGACATGTTGCGGGATCAAGGGATCAGTTGAGAGGTCTTCAGTATGGCTCCCCTTCACAGCTTGCGGGCCCTTGCAGCCGGTATAAGAGGTTCGCGGGACTGCACATGCGGGGCGCGGGACGGTTTGCTGATGATTAAGCGGCTGAATATACGGCGGACGAGTCTCGAAGACTCCCATTGTCTTTGCGACTACTAAGAAGCTCACAATCCGGAGGTCGAGAATGTTGCAACCTAGTTTGGAACACCCTTCGCGCGAGGATATAAGGAAACGTGGGCAAGGAACTGTAGAGCTGTAGGTCATGAGTAGCCTGACAAACTGGCTTCAGCCGCGCTTTCGTCGTCGACTTCGTTCGGTGCTCAACCGCACACGGAGATCTATGTCCAGTCCAATCCGCTACACGAGACATGCATCTGTTAGTGTACGCTTCCGCTTGTCGAAACGGCTAATAGCGGCTGTTGACCCTAGATCTCTCCTGCCTTGTGTCTTCCAACACTGACACATATCAACAACGATCTTCTGGCAGGCAGTTGCTACTCGGCACGATTCTCCGGAGCCGGGAAGAGATAGGCACCGACCGCTATGATGAAATAGCAAGCAAAGAGCAAGCTTCCCTCCAAAAAGTTGGATTTGCCGTATACGATGAGGACGTTCACCAGGAATGTCGTTGCGAAGAGCGCCACGGTGCCAAACAGGTCAAAGTACATGGTCATGTCCTTTTGAAGGATCCATCCAGCAATAACAATGAGCGGCGTGACAAGAAGGGAGATCTGGACCGAAGACCCGACCGAGACACCGATCGCTAGGTCGAAGTTGCCGTGGGCTGCCACATAGGTGGCGGTGAAGAGCTCCGCACAATTGCCCGCTATGGGGAGGATGATCAACCCGATAAATGCCTGAGGAAACGGCCCGGACTCCACCATGTCATCAAGCGTGTCCACCATGAATTCGGCGCAGAGAGCCACAAGGAGGGAAGATATGACAAGCAGCAAGCTTGATGCTACACGCCCGATCTTTGGAGGCGATTCCTGAGGTGCGTAGACGTCACATAGGTTCTCGGCACTGGGCCTCGAGCTGCCCACCAGCAGGCGAGGTAGACTGGTGCTGGAGCCTGAGAACGAGAGGTGATGCCGACTCCGCTGCTGTCCTGCAGGGCTAGTATATCGATTACTTGACTGGAGTGATTCAGATCGCTGTCTGCTAAAGGGATGCTGATAGATTGAGCTTCTTGAATTTCGGCCTTTATCAGATTGGGGTGACGGCTCGAGCTCCTCACCGTTGATCGAAGATTCCAAGTCGAAGCGGTCGTGCAGTTCTTCAGACTCGTCCTGAGACTCCCCTGAGCCGCCGAGAGCCGACATCTCCAGACTATCGCCTCGAGCACGAGTTTTCGCCGGGCGACTCCGACCAGCTTCCTCGTCCTGAAACCTAATCGAGCGAGGAAGTAGCAGTGCACTGGAGGACCTGGCATCCTGGGATGGTGCGGCCGCGGCGGATAATTCGTCAAAGCTCATCACGTCAATGGATGGATGGTGCCGAGGAATCTTCCTAATCTGCAGGCAGATATAGAGCAGATATACCACCAACAGCGTCAGGGACGACACCCGGCTCAAGGTTAACACGGCCGCAGAGGCGATCTCCGCATCCTGGAATGAATGGTAGAAGGCGTTCTGCACAGCGATTAGCCGTCAAGGTCGCCGTGGGTCAGCAACGACTTACCGGGATAAGCAAGCTTAAGACGGAAAAGCTCAGAAGACAAGCTAGTGTTTGCGCATCCTCCTTGTTCTGTGCGAGCTGATGATGATGAAAACTTCCCGCTAGGATCGCGATGCCGAGAATGAGCAGCAGGTTGACCAGGATGGAGCCGAGAAGGGATGCCTGTACCACTTCAAGTCGATTGTGGTACAGGGCAATTCTGCGGTCGTCAGTCAGGTGCCGACAGAACGACAACAGCACCGTGAGGCGTACAAACTTGTGACTGTCAGCTAGAGGATCGGTTCGCCAGATCAGATCACTCACAAAATCACAATCTCTACAAGGTTCCCAAAAGTCACGTTGACGAGCGCGCCAACAACATCGCCTGACTCTCGAGCAATGTTCTCCGTCGCACATGTAAGGAGGCTAGAGAGGGGAACGACAGCGATAAGATTTGCCGCAAAGACCAAGATGCGATTTGTGTGTACCAGATAGCTGGTAATGGCCAGCGGAACAGCAATGAGAAGGACGTTGAGCTTCGAATAGAACAAAATGTCGCGGATGGTGACGAATGCTTCTGCCAGATAACGTGAATACCATTTTCGCTCTGCCGTCGAAATGGGCGACGACTCTTCAGGCGAGCTTCGCTCATGGCGATGGACTCCCGCTCGACGGTGAGTCAAGCGATGAAGAAGGCGAGGGATCCATCCCGCTGGCCTCATTAGACATACGTGTTCCCGAACGTGTAGCATGTGGCACATACTCAAGACTCCCGACTGAGACCTGGTTTCACGGTTAATTCACACCAGACATCAACGCACGAGGGGAGGAATCATGTACCTCGGAACCAGGCGGCTAGCTTCTCCCGTGTCATCCTCGTCGCCAGCATTGTCTGAGTCTTCTCCTCTCGATATGCTGCCATGAATGGAGCGGCCTCCGTCTGTGGTCATCGATCGAAGGGGGCTTCAGGACAGACCGATAGAGAAGAGTGATCAGAACAGCAGCCAGCCACTGTAGCGAGGGTGCAATGAGAGTTAAGCGACCGACGAGCCAAGGAATCAATGTTGCTCCGTCTTGCCGAACAGGCATCCCATGCCCCATCGCTGTATGCAACGAGGCGGAGATACCTCTGGAAGGAGTTTAGCTAATGGCAGCACTGCCCTACCGTTCGATCTTCTACGCGCAAGGGCATATCGATGAACTGGGAAACTAGATTATGAGGCATTTTCGTAAGCCAGATGTCGGTGGGCCTGGGACCTGACTGCTGTGCCGATGGCCTTGCTGAAGGGTTCGTCTACTCCGCCTGCCGATCCAGCGACAGCCGCTTCCACATCCACATCCATGCTCGTTCCAATGGTGGGCTTCCTGCTGGGTATTAATGGCGGCCGCCTGATTTCCAGACACTCAGAACACTTCAGGAATGTTGCGATTCAGCTAGCGGCGACAAGATCTTACTGACACGCGGCAGGCCAAGTGCTAAAGTCTTGGATCCCTACAGGGTACAATTGTGTATTTTCTGTCGATGGCTTGAAACGGACGAATCACATGCATAAGACCGTGACTTGCGCTCCATGGAAAATGTCTCCACAGCCACGGTACGTCCAATCCTCATAGTGCGGACGCGGTTGTCCATTACCAGCCCAGCCTAGAGGGTCATGGCTCTCTGTGAACCTCCGCCTCGGACGACTCGGAGCGCCGACGAGGTCGAAGCTGAAAGGCTGCTTCGATATTCGCGGCCTCGACAGAGATATGGAAAGTCGATGCAAGGTAAGCCGCATAACGAAGACGGTATGCATCCATGACCTGGGCAAGAGGATGAGAAGCCGAGGAGGATGCTGGAGAGACTGGATGCCGGTTAGAACTCGGTTGCCTTATGGCACAGGGATGCCACTAACCTGTGATCTTGGAGACATTTGTCACCGGTTTGGCTGTCGAGGGCTCCCATATCGTTCTTGGCTCCATAGCAGCAGTTGGCCCGGTAGTGGGTGACCTCTTGTTCCTAAGAAGCAGTTGAGTAGGCCCGCTGCTTCGTTGTCAAGCAAGCCGGAGCAAATACGTCCTTGACCTTGCAGCTACCACACCAGAGCAGACTGAGAGAAGAGGAGAACGGTCCTGGGGCGAGGTAGGTCGTATCCTTCTGTGGATCTTATCGATCTGACGCCGGAGCCACGTTCCAGTCTTCCAGGAAAGCAGAACATACAAAAAGGCCACTGCAATGAATGACACTGAAGAGACGATGTATGCGAGGAAGATGCAGAGAATCAGGGGCATTCGCAAATTCGTGCTTTACACAAAGAAGGTACTGCTTATGGAGACTCTGGCCTTCCTCCAGCACGTTTGAATGAGGGAATTTTCGACACCCTCGAAGTGCTCGATCTTCCTCTCTGTCCACAATCTCGCGCGATACCGCAAAGCCACCAGCATGGGTATGAGCCATTTAAAATATGTATGATCTCAGGAGTAGGTCGCGGTAGTCGTCAGCCATGTGTCCCTAGATCCACAGCGCAAGCCACCACTTTCATGCCACTAGACAGGATCGACCCCAAAAGCAGCCTGTGGGGTGACCAGGATCATGCAGTGTCGTTATAGCCAGCCAATAAGGAAAGTTGTGTCTTTGTCCCGTCCTTCCGGCGCATGACCTGTGTCTCCTTGAATCCTGGCGGTGAAATGGAATCATCCTAGAAGCGCGGTGCAGCAATGCAGGGGGCATGTCACGATAGAACTGTGAGCGAATGAGAGATGCCTCTCATACCTTTGTCGTGGGCAACCTGAGCTTGAGAGGAGGGGTCGCACGTGCAACACTCGGGAGCTGCAAGAATCTTAGGCACTCGTAAGGTCTGGTAGCAAACCCAGGCATGGGTGCTCAAGCAAACCCATTGGCGCGGATATCAAGGGCTAGGTGATGGAAAGCCTTCCTGTCCATACACTGCGGTCGGTCGGAAGAAGAGGTGATGTTCGTGGAGAGTGATCCGCCAATTTCTCTCCCCGGGTACCCGGAGCCTTCAAGGCGGCAAGCACCACAGATCGGGTTGCCATGCTGGTGAAGACGATGCGTTTATTCCAATCCCTTCCATCTTTCTGTGACATTGGCCACGCCCACATAGGCTTGGAATGGATGCTGGCGGTAACGGTGAGGACACCAGTGCCACCGTTACTTTTACATCGATCTCGCGACAGCTCAGGACCTATTCAAATAGGGCTTAATGCCGTCCTCCATTCGGAAAGCTCGACATTGGACCGCCCTGTCATGAACCGAATGCTGCTCTGGAGGATCTTGCGTACGACCTCGATCTCCTCTTCGTCGCGTGGTCCGTAAATCAGGATATATGTGTCGGCGATGTGGAACCTTTTGAACTTGAACAAGGAATTTTCCGGCTTTGACAACCGATGCTTTTCTCCCCATCCTTTCTCAATGATGAGTCGAGCGTCCGCAGGAGAAAGATATAGGTGGATTGAGAACTAAATGGCCGGGCGAAATCAGCACCTCGGTCAGGTTAAGATATTTCGACCGCATGCGATACGCTTTCCAGAGAACCCGGCTAAAGAATGCTTAGAACTCACATCGGGGTGAATGTGTCCGATCTCGCCTCGAGCAATCCGTGCTGTCTCCGGCACGGCGGAGTCGGCGCTCGACAGAATATTGTCGTGCACGAAAAGAGCTGGGTTGTGCCTTTCGTACAAAGAAAGGCGCTCCTCCAGGATATCACTGTTCCCTGCAACAGCATTCTTGAACAGGTTCGTAATATACTGTGAGTTCGGTTAACATCTGTGGTGCCTCAGACACCAGAGGGCAAATTGTACCTGCTTCATCTCCTCGGGTGGATGCTGTGAGAGCTGGCGGTGTGGGACGATTCCTCCTACAGAGGCAGGTAAGCCCGCTCTTGTCGGTAAATCTCTGATATCGTCATGGGCACCATCGGCTGGATAGCTTGACACTTGTTTTGCGCCGCGCTTGGATAAGGCAAATGGCCGAAGCAGAGTCACGATGGCCCATCCTATGACGTTGTATGGGGCACCGCCCCGGCCCAGGGCCAGGAACTCATGATAATCTCGAACGCACCAGATGATGGCACTCAGCGTGGCGGTCACTGCAGCGGCATTCAACGCCAGTTCTCGAGGCGGCAGCTTGGGTAGGTGCTTGAGGCGATCCATCATGGCCGGCAGGACACGTTAGCTGTCTCCGAATCCGATGCGCTGCACTCTGTGGACGGTGGACGATTCGGGTGACCGATAACTGATGCGGAAGCCTTCACGTTTGCAATATGTAGGACACTGAGTTTAGGCGTCCTGTTAAGCTGACGACTTTCATTACAGGCGACTGCTCGCGATCCGGCATCTTCCGCGCGGGGAGCGCCGTCACGTGACTGCGCTTTAGTTTAAGCACCAGCAAGCTTTCTCTGCTCAGCAATTCCCAGTTGACTTTCATCTCAGTACAGTACTTTGTGCACATTCATATGCTGCGAATCCTGGTTCCATCAGCAAACTGGCTATCGATACTCCGCGCCATGACAAGACGTTCGTCCGTACACAGCAAGAATTGCCCTTATCTCTGCCGCTCTCCTAGTCCGGCCTACCAGTGTTCCAGACATTGATGCAGGCTGACCTAGGGTGTTTGTCCTCGAGTGCGGGTTGAAGAAGAATACCATTGTTCCTAGGGTACAAGAATATCTGCAAATACAAACCACAATGCACGCGGGCTGCATTCATATAGGACTCTGTACAGCAACGGCTTCCCGTCGTATGTTCCGCGCACTGCAAGCGCTCCGAGTGAAGGAGTGCTGTCGCTCTGTGTCAGCCACAGTGACTTTGACGCCCTCGACACATCGTCATTCGGTCAGTCGCAGGCAGCGGGTGAGCGACTTGTTGACCACGCGGTTCGTAACTGACAATGAATCTACCGGAGCGAAGAGCCGAGCTCAGCTGCTCTAGGGGTTTGGGTCAATTAAGTCATCTATGCATCTGCCATCTTCCATACTCGTCTTCCCGCTGAAATCTCGAAGGGATGAGGTACTTCACCGCCTCGCACCATTCCCGGCGCTCGGGTCATGGTCTAAATTAAAACCTGATACCACAGCTCATTTCAGCTTTGCACAGACTCGGTGACAGTGTCAAAGCAGGATACAACCACTCATCCAAACCAGTGTCGGTCAAGAAACGCTTTGTGGCTGGCAGTCAAAAGCGCCGTTCATCTCTGGGCATGCCTAGGTTGCGATTAGGCGCGCCTGAGTGGGCGAGTCATAGCCAAACGGTTTCCTGTTTAGGTAAGAGACTTTCAGCTAACGGCTCCATAGGTGTCGCTTCGCACTTCTTCCAACCTTATTCCCTCGCTGGCCGTGGTGGCACAGCCAACCTTTGCTTTACTTTGGCCAGTCTCACACATCGAGAACCACACGGCGAGCCCTAGATATGTGGATACATCGTTGGGTTGCGGAGATCCGGTTCTTCGAACCGAGCAACAGGACAAAGATCAAAACCACCACATCCCGGCCAGACTCATCCCCAGCCAGTCTCACCATGAGACTCGCCGTATTCAGCCAGCCATTTCAACAAACGACTCAAAATATGCTATCTATTCATGCAAGAAAGATCTAGACCCCGGCAGATGCCCCCGGAATGGGATTCAGATGCATTAATGACTGGAGCAAATGGCCAATGTTTCGAGTTCCGCCCCGGGGGCTGAAGCCCGTTAGTGATGGCAGAGCAGATTTGCGTTTGCCCCGGACACCAGTTCAGCAGACCTCTCATTGGGGAAAGTGAGCAAGAAGCGGTATCGCTCTGAGGCAGCTGCACTGTGGGACTCGAGGCGCTTGAGCTATCGCCACAATTTGGCAAAGGGACATATATCATCGTAGCATGTCGTGAGAGAACGGTATGGCTTACATAGAATCTATCGGGCCAGATAACAATGCCTTACACGATGGGATTCAGAGCGAAACCGACCATGATGGATTCACTGAAGCCGCAAAAGACGTCAGATGAGCCCATTATCATACGGATTCAGGAGACCCAGTCGATCTCGAGCGAGGATGCCTGGTCGGATACGAGGTTCCTTCACGTATGTCACTGCGACGAACGCGAACTTCTGAGCAGACGTACTTACCTGATGTAGGAGTCCGAGTCTATCTACTCCTCGCCTTCCTGCCAGTCTTCGTCTCATCGACTTCAACAATGTCCACTAGAACTCGATGTATACCCCCCACCGCATACAAAGCTATGGACGAAAGTTGCGGAAGGGTTCAGACTGGCGTACACCCGGGGCAAAGTCAGCCTCGAACAACCGAGACACAACCAGCAGCCAATTTCAGAAGCAGGAAGATTCAATCATTGCTATGTGCATCCTCTAGACAACCGGAAAGGGAAAAATGAGCGCATCACTCTTGGTCGCTGGACTCCTCGACTTCAAATCCGAGATGGACACGGCACCCAACACACCGTCATCCAAGCAGCTTCGCACAACTATGCTGGCTTCTACGGCCTCACGCAAGACTCGGAAGAGCTTCAACGGTTGGCACTCGAGAGCCTACCTGCCGCTAATTCTTATGCGATGCCTTTCTTAGAGGCGGCCATGCATGAGGGTCTGGCAAAGTTCTTCTCTAGTGAATTCTGCTACACCACCAGCACAGGGTACGGCTCAAACTTACTGGCCTTTTCAGCACTCTTGAACCAGGACTGGCTAGTGATGTTCGATGACAAGTGTCATAATTCAATGCACGTTGCTGCGTTCCTCAGTCACGCTGGACTTGTCAAAAAGTTTCCCCACGGAAACTTCAGGATGATGGAAGCGATTCTCTCAGAGCATCAAGGCCATTTTGCCAATATCCTCGTTGCAATTGAGGGGTTTTACAGGTCAGTCAATCTAACGTTGCCCTCAGGTCCTCGCTAAAGGCAAACCCAGCATGGATGGCACGGTCCCTGCACTCGACAATCTCGCTCGGCTGAAGAAGGAATATAACTTCACGCTCCTCGCCGATGAAGCTCATTCGTTGATGTGCTTGGGCCGAACTGGTCGAGGAGCGATTGAGGTTTGGAACGAACAGCACTCTGATGCACCTGTTTCAACGGATCTCTTTGACCTCCGAACGGGAACTTTGTCCAAATCAGTTGGCGCCATTGGTGGCATCGTCTGTGGAAAAGCACGATTTGCTCCTGCTGTCCTCAGACGCCGCGATGAGATGCTCGCCAATGGTGCCGACCCTCTGCCCATCTCCTCCATCATTCAGACTTTGCACGTTCTTGGTCAGCCGACCTTACTGCAACGCAATCTGCGACGGTTGACTGCAATCGCCATTTTCGTTCGAGAAGCTCTGCATAGAGCAGGGGTTCATGTCTATGGCAATGCTGTCTCGCCCATACTACCAGTCTATGCTGGTCGTCCTAGCATGGCAGCGAGGATGTCATATTCATTACGAAAGGTTGGACTGCTTGCAACGCCGGTCTCTGCTCCTGCCGTCCCCTTCTGGGAGTCTCGTGTGCGGATATGTCTCTCGGCGGATCACGACGACGATACCGTAAATGATATCGTCGCTGCCATCGTCAAGGCTGCTCTAAACATCGGACTGATTGATAAAGCACCATCTCCGTCCAAACTGTTCGCATACCCGGACGAGCCTTCGACCCGACAAGAGACCCTTGAGGCCTGTGAAGTAGCCAAACAGATCCGAGAGCTCATCCAGCAAGAGATACTTGATACCAAACCGGCAACGTCTGACAAAGACATTCTCCGCGCTGGCCACGAAGCCCGCCTCCAATATGGTCTTGGTTCCGGCGGTGCCCGATGGATCACAGGGACTTCTGAACTGCATGTCCAAGTTGAAAAATTGGCTGCGAAACTGATCGGCACGGCCGAAGCCATGACTTATCCCGACACGTACATTGGTCTCATGTCAACAATCGCAGCCCTCAGTCGACCGGTGTTAGGATTCAAAAAGCATCTCTTCCTTATCCCACAGGAGGCGCCTCAAGCAGTGCTCGACGGATTCCGCGTTGCGTCAAGAAAGGGTTCACCCAAAGTTCAAAGCTACACAAATGTGGACGCGCTGCTCGAATACATTCGAGGCTGTGGGCTGTCTTCATACCTTACATTGTTCCTGGACGTGGACGGCAAGGAGACAAATTTGCGGCCCCTACTGCAGAGAATACAGCAAGCTCGCGGTTCTCCAGGCATGACACTTATTCTCTACAACCATGCCGGCTGCACAGCAGGCAGCTTTTGGCAGGACGAGCAAGCGTTGGTCGGCTCTTCTCCCGGATTCAGAGATCATCAATTTCTGATGTTTGGCTCGTTCTACCGAGCCTTTGGTCTGCCGGGAGCGTACCTTGCGGGCAGCCCGGTGCTTCTGAAAGAGCTGAGATATACCAGTCGGGGATATATGTTTACTACATCACAACAGCCCTTTATCATGGGCATGGTGGCTGCTGAGTTGAAGAAACTGATGGCTTCGCGATAGTTTGTCAGAATATATTGGTACCTACTTGCCTTTCGCATTTCCACCATAGATACCATTCGTGCCTTCATCACGAAATGAGGTACAGTAATAAATGAAATAGATTTGAATCGTCTCAGCTTCTCTGACTTGGATTGACCGATTGGGGCAGACGCCGACCAATCAAGTCTTACCTAAGACTGCGCCAAAAGGCGTTTTGCTCCGCCAGAGGCTCTGTGCGCTGTACAAAGCAGGCAACTGCGCCGAAGACTTTGAGTACGGAGACGATCAATTGACATGTGTCCCCAGGATCCAGGACGGGAGGGACGACTTGAGCACTGGGATCTCTCTGAAGTCCGAGACTCACATGAATGAATGATATGGAACCCGGTTGTCCGTCTCTTTGTCATTGCTCTCACTCCTCAGCCTCGTCATAATTCCTCCTTCAACCACCTTGTGTGCAGCCCACTAATATCTTGAAACAACTTTGGTCGCTTGATGCCACGATGCGGTTAGACGTCAAGCGACAGCTCTTTGCTCGTGGGTGGCACTGGTACTGCCATTTTAGCCTTCAGCTGACCGGGTACAGGTTCGGAACGAGTGAAGGGCATCGATTTCCACAGGTAAGTCTCTGATTCCAATAATAACCGCACATCTAACGGAGAATAGTACTGAACCATGGGTATGATGCGCTCACGCTTCTGTGTCCTTCGCTTGCTGACTGACGGCTAAGATCCTAACGACATTATACAACGGCCATGCGCACATCTGGTCATACGAAACACAGTCCATCATCAAGACCTTCGAACTCACCGACGTGCCTGTCCGGGCTGGACGGTTCATCGAGAGGAAGAACTGGATAGTCTGTGGCAGTGATGACTTTCAGCTTAGAGTGGTCAACTGGAATACCAGTGAAAAGGTCAAATCGTTTGAGGCGTAAGCGCACACCCAACCACAAGAGATGTCGGACAGGGGCTTACAGAGAGGTGGCAGACATCCAGACTACATCCGCGCAATCGTGGTACATCCAGTTCTCAGCGTGGTCTTGACAGCCTCAGACGACATGACCATCCGCATGTTCGACTGGGAGAAAGACTGGCGCTGCGTGCGTGAATTTGTGGGCCATCAACACTATGTCATGGGCTTGTCAATCAACCCGAAGGACACAAACGTCTTTGCGTCAGCATGTTTGGACCGCACAATCAAAGTCTGGAGTATCGACAACGCCACTGCGAAGCAGACAATAGAGGCCCACGAGAAGGGCGTGAACCATATCGACTATTACCCACACAGCGACAAGCCCTACTTGCTCAGTACGTCAGATGACAGGACGGTGAAAGTGTGGGACTACACCACAAAGGCCCTCATCGCAACCCTTGAAGGACACACCAGCAATGTCAGCTTCGCTTGCTACCACCCCGAACTGCCGGTCATAATCTCCGGCTCAGAAGATGGCACGGTCAAGATCTGGCATGCTAATACATATCGGTTAGAGCAATCGCTCAGCTATGGTCTGGAGAGAGCATGGTGTGTTTCATACCAGAGAGGCAAACAAGGCGTAGCGATGGGCTTTGATGATGGTGCCGTGGTTGTCAAGATGGGCAGAGAGGAGCCGGCTGTGTCTATGGACGGGACAGGCAAGCTCGTCTGGGCACGCCACAACGAGGTGGTGTCTGCAATCGTAAAAGGCGCTGATGCGTCTATCAAAGATGGCGCACCTATTGCTCTCCCGAGCAAGGAGATGGGCACCACTGAAATGTGAGTACGTTCGTGGGATGAATGGACCGAAGCTGACTTGAGCTCGAGTTATCCGACAACTTTGACACATTCGCCCAATGGCCGCTTCGTCAGTGTCTGCGGCGACGGAGAGTTCATCATCGTAAGCATTTTGCCAATCTCCCTTCTGGTACATCCCTTTGCTCATCGGTCACAGTACACAGCTCTTGCGTGGAGAAATCAAGCCTTCGGCTCAGCACTGGACTTCGCATGGGCATCACATCAAAATCCCACAGATTATGCGATACGAGAATCCAGCACCAGTGTCAAACTATTCAAGAAGCTCAAAGAAAGCGGCGCCCTTGATGTCGGTTTCCAAGCGGAAGGACTTGCTGGCGGCACGTTGCTCGGCGTGAAAGGCCAGGGAGGCATCGGCATGTTCGATTGGGAAACAGGCACCCTGGTCCGACGGATCGAGGTCGAGCCGAGAGAAGTATTGCGCCCTTGACTCCCACCATTCTCGAGCAGCTATATTGACTTGCCTCACAGGTATACTGGTCCGAATCTGGCGAACTCGTGGCTCTCGCATGTGCCGACACAACCTACGTCCTCCGCTTCGACCGCGAAGCCTACCTCGATGGCCTGAACTCCGGCCAAGTAGACGAGGACGGCGTTGAAGCAGCGTTTTCCGTTGTCACCGATCTCCAGGAGTCCGTCAGGTCGGGCGAATGGGTCGGCGATGCATTCCTCTTCACTACGACAACTCGGCTCAGCTACTTACTGGGCGAACAAGTCGTGCACATTGCACAATTCGACCAGCCTATGTACCTATTACGGTACCTCCAGCGAGACGAAAGAGTCTATCTGTGCGACAAGGACGTCGGCGTGGTTTCCTACCGTCTCTCCACCGCGCTTCTATCCTACCAAACCCTCGTCTTGCGAGGCGACCTCGACTCTGCACAAGAGCTTCTACCTGAAATTCCAGCCGACCAGATGAACAAGATCGCGCGGTTCCTCGAAGCGCAGGGCCACAAGGATCTCGCGCTTGAGGTTGCAACAGATCCGGAACATCGGTTTGAGCTCGCGTTGGGGCTGAATAATTTGCAAGTCGCTCTGAGTATTGCGCGGGAGTCAGAGTCGCCAGCGAGATGGGCGAACGTGGCTGACAAGGCGCTGGAGGCATGGGACGTCAAGCTTGCGGAGGAGTGTTTCGTGCATGCCAAAGACCTCGGTTCTTTGCTCCTGCTGTACTCCAGTAGCGGCAACAAAGAGGGCCTCCTACGCCTCGCGTCGCAAGCCGAAGAAAGCGGTGCGAATAACGTTGCATTTGCGGCGTTGTGGAGCACAGGCGATGTGGCGAGATGTGTTGATCTGCTAAAGAGAACTGGACGCCTCAGTGAAGCCGTGCTGTTCAGCCAGACGTATCAGCCCTCGCTCACCAAGGCTCTGGCGCTCGAGTGGAAGGACGGGCTGGAGAAACAGGGTAAGGGCAAAGTGGCGCGATTGCTGGCGGTTCCAGGTCAGGAAGGCGACGAGGAGTTATTCCCCGAGTGGGATGAATATCTTCGATTGGAGGAGGAGCGGGCGAGTGCAATCCCGGCGAGTGCGAAGGCTGATTTGATCGACGTCAATGGCGACGCGGACGAGGGAGATGAGACAGCCGAGGCGGACACGAATGGTGCAACTGCGGAGGAGGGCGATGCAGAAGTTGAGGCTGCCGCGTAGATTCGACTCGAGCGTGGCAAACATGACGACGCTGTGCTGTCTTACATTGTATTGCTCTGCGTTGCACTCCCTCCGTCGGGGAGATAGACTTGCGAACGGCGAATCAATACAATACCTGGGACACGCAGTTCATGTGTGCATGCATGATGGAACGGCAGGAAAATCGAGTCAAATATGATTCACGCGCATCTTGGGCCTACAGTAGGATCAATCTCTCAGGCTTTCAGAGTCTTGTCAGCCAAAAAGACTGGAATGTCCGAGTTGCGCAAGGCGGGTAGGGTGTTTGGATCGACTCTTCTCTTTGGTCTGCGTTTGCGTGTGCGTTATTGCGCTCAGAATGCCTCCCTCCCTTTCCTCCTCCTCCCCCCCTCCTCCTCCTCCTCCTCCCATATCTACCTGATTTCATGCACGGGATGTACAAAGGTGTCCCCTTTCTCCTTCCGGTCAGAGTTTCTGGCGTCCTCCTCTGCCCGTCCTTTTGTATAGCAGTGTTTTAAGGCGGGGAGACTAGCACAGGTGGATTTCCGATGGCTCTCATGCCTCTCGCTCGGGTCATCCAGGCACTCTGCTCGCTAGTTCGCCGTGCGCCGGAGGACCGGGCCTACCGTGGCTCTGTACCGTTACTCTGTTTTGGTCTTCATTTTGTGGCGATGCACCTCTTTTTCTCGTGCCGATGAGGTTCGCGTTTGGACGTTGTGGAGCGAGTTAGCTTTTCTGCTCCATCATCAACGAAGAGTTAAGACACTTATTGGTAGAGGTGCGTGGCGACGTCTGTATCTTGTGAGCTCATCAGGCGGACTGCCCCTCTCAATCCGTCTTCACGTTGCCCTTGACGCCCGTGACGTGCGTGACTTGATGCCAGTGCTCGACGCGTCCCTCCAAGGAGCGTGGCACGATGAAGTACAATTTCTGGGGGTCATCCAACCCTTGGAATTCGTAGTGGCCCAGCTCACGGATCTGGAAATACTGGGTCGTGACGTTCTGTTGACCGGCTTTGGAGCGGAGAATGCTGAGATCGGGAGGTGGAGAGTGCTGTGCTGTGCTACTAGTGCTCGTGCTCGTGGTTGCGGCTGTGCTGGGCGCCCCTGGAGAGAGAGGTTGAGATTGAATGCCCTCCCGGGACTCCTCGGCGCGCTCTGGACCTTGCATCTCACGCTGGAGTTGCGCGAGGAAGTCTTCGCTCACGACGATCTGGCCGCCCTCTGTGACTTGGACGAATCGCGCGGCGCGATTGACGACGGGGCCCAAGTAGTCCATCCTTTGGATGACTTCGTTCCATTTGCTCACGGGTTCGCCCCAGTGCGCGCTCATGCGGAGCTGCAGGCCGCGGAACAAGACGTGGCCCTTGTCGTCGGTCGTTTCCTGTCCCGGCGCCAGCTTCAGGAGCGCCTTGGGCCATTCTTCGTCCAGCAGCTTTTCCTGCACGTCGAGACAGAACTGCACCGCCGACGTGGCCGTCGGGAATGCAATCATGAAGCCATCTCCGTTTTGCTTCACTTCGTACCCGTTGTTGGACAGCGTGAGGGAGCGCACCGTGTCGTCGTGGAGTTGCATGGCCGAGATCATGGCGTCGGTGTCCTTTTCCCAGATGTTGGTGGATTTCACGATGTCGGTGAAGACGATGCTGATGGGCCCTACAGGGGGCGGGATGCCTCTGGCGGGAAGATCATTGCTGACCATTGCGGCAGCCGTGGTCATGCCTTTCTTGGGAAGGGCGTTGTCGGTGCTGCGAGGTTCGAGCTTACGCCGATACCATCGACCTGTAGACGACAGGTTGCGCCGCGAGGGAAGATCGGTGCTGGTGACGGCGGTGGTCAGGTTGGACGACGACCACCCGGTTGTGGAGGTCAGCAAGATGCCATGTTGTTGGCGAATCGAACTCGGGGCGAGAATCCCTTGGGCGCTTCTTCTCAGTTCTCGGAGCCCAAGTTTAGGCATCCGGCCAGCGGATGCAGGTCGGGGCGGTCGATCTGCAGGAGACGCTTCCCGAACGTGGACGAGTATGTGCCTTGCCGACAGCTACTGGGGACGCCGTGCATGAGTCAGAGAGTATTCCAATGCCGCGTGGCAGCTATGAACTTGTCGAAGCGTTGAAATGTCGCTCACAGTTCTTACTGCTTGGGTGTCGTCGTGATCGAGTTGCCCCAGGCCGTGCCCAGGTTTTGTGCCGCCGTTACAATGGAGCTCAGCTTGTTACGACTGTGGCGCTGCGATGCAGGCTCCTTATTTGCCCATCTCAGATCTTGGTTGATTGGTGAGCCGAGTCGCGCGCGCAAGGGCACGAGGGGATCGCGAAGCCGCAGCTGATCGTCGCTTCGAGTCCGAGCTGCTGATTGGGTGAAGAATGCCATCCACGCCATCCTTCTGCCGAGTCATTTGTCGAGCAGAGCACGTAAAGATCACGATCGCGACAGAGGAATAAGAGGAAGGGAAGGGTCTCGTGTTGTGGACTATCCTATCTATAGATCCTGTCTATAACAAGGGGTCTTCCAGTTCCGTAATAAGGCATATGTCCTTGAAGGAGTTGCATCTGCAGAAATGGTCTCCCCTGCGGCAGCAGCATGTGTCCTCCTTTCGCATTTGGCAGCCTCGTCGTCGTTCTGCCTCACCCACCACCCGGCCAAGCAAGCAGCATTCACTTGCGAACAATTCAGTGCATATATTTCCAGTGCACACAAATTTGTCTCGAAATAGCCCGAAAAGAAGACTCGGTCTGCGGCGGGAGGGGTGATTCCCAGCCCGTTGTTGCCAAACAGTAAACCATGACAGGTGGATTCAACATCCCCGGTTCTGCTTGCTGTGTGGCGCTTGTCTGATCGACATGAGACTGAGACCCCTACATCTTCTGCTTGAAAGTAGGGCTATACCTGGGGGCAAACGTGGTTCGGTTGGTTGGGCCTTTCCTAAAGGTATGTGTGAGCAGTTGGGGTCTTGCGCGTATCGTCCGTTGTTCTCTCTGTGGCTGTTGTAAGATTGCTCATAACGCCCTCCTGCGGGGAGGATCGCGGAGCCACAACACCTGCTTAGGGGAGGGGGGAAGGTATAATAGAAGCCGAACGATCCACTTGAACTTTTTTGGGGGGGATTGAGAGAGTTGCCATGTTCGAGTACAGTGGATGCTAGTTATATACGACGGGCAGAAGCGAAGGCAAAACTTCGGAGTTATGTCCCACTTCAGCCACCACAGCCACAAGCGCCACTTTCCCCCCCGGAGCCAATCACAATCACGGTGAAGTCATCCCAACACTCCGACATCGGCACCCCACATAATGCATTCCCTCCCCCAAGTCTTTTGCTTATAATGCAGGCTCTACGATTGGAATGTCCTTTTGAGCAGACTACCTCTCAGTCTTAATTTTGGAAGGGTGTAACTGCTGAAGCAAACAAGATGCCTTCCATCGAGTCGAAACCGAGAACTTTGTACGACAAAGTCTTTCAAGACCACATCGTCACTGAAGAAGCAGACGGCACCACCCTCCTCTACATCGGTGCGCCACACTTTGTCCTACAGGCAGAGCAGTGCTAACAATGTCGCAGACCGACACCTTGTCCACGAAGTCACATCACCACAGGCGTTCGAAGGCCTGAAGAACGCAAAGCGGAAAGTACGCCGGCCCGATTGTACCCTCGCCACCACCGATCACAATGTCCCCACGACTCCAAGAAAGAACTTCAAGAACATTGCGGAGTTTGTCAAGGAGGATGATAGCCGCTTGCAGTGCATGACCCTCGAGGACAACGTCAAGGAGTTCGGCCTGACCTACTTTGGCCTGGGCGATAAGAACCAGGGCATTGTCCACATCATCGGCCCCGAGCAAGGCTTTACTCTGCCCGGGACGACCGTGGTCTGCGGCGACAGCCACACCGCCACCCATGGCGCTTTCGGCGCTCTTGCATTCGGAATTGGCACCAGCGAGGTGGAACATGTCTTGGCCACTCAATGCTTGATCACAAAGAAGAGCAAGAACATGCGCATACAGGTCGATGGCCAGCTGGCACCTGGAGTCAGTAGCAAGGATGTCATTCTGCACATTATCGGCGTCATTGGTACTGCCGGCGGTACGGGCGCTGTCATTGAATACAGCGGCTCGGCAATCCGAGGGCTGAGCATGGAGGCTCGTATGTCCATCTGCAATATGTCCATCGAGGCCGGCGCCAGAGCTGGCATGATTGCACCGGATCAGACCACATTCGACTATCTAAAAGGCCGACCTTTGGCACCCAAGGTTGACAGTAACGAGTGGAAGAAAGCCATCAAGTACTGGTCAAGCTTAAAGTCCGACGAGGGTGCTAAATACGACCTCGAGGTCTTCATCGATGCAAAGGATATCGCACCAACAGTGTCCTGGGGAACCTCTCCACAGGACGTGGTGCCCATCACGGGGGTCGTTCCCGGACCTGACGATTTCGAAGACCCCAACAAGAAAGCCAGTTGCAAACGTGCTCTCGAATACATGGGCCTTACCGCTGGCACCAAGATGGAAGACATTGAGCTAGACAAGATCTTTATCGGCTCATGTACGAATGCTCGGATTGAGGATTTACGCGCTGCGGCCAAGATCGTCGAGGGCAAGAAAGTGGCCCCCAACATCAAACGGGCCATGGTCGTGCCTGGCTCCGGCAACGTCAAGGTCCAAGCCGAACGCGAAGGGCTCGACAAGATCTTCGAAGAGGCCGGCTTCGAATGGCGGGAAGCAGGCTGCTCAATGTGCTTAGGCATGAACCCTGATATTTTGTCCCCCAGAGAGCGCTGCGCCAGCACGTCGAACCGGAATTTCGAAGGCCGACAGGGCGCCCTCGGCCGCACACATCTGGTGTCCCCAGTCATGGCCGCCGCCGCAGCAATCGTTGGCAAACTCGCAGACGTACGGAAGCTCACCGACAATGCCACTCCCGTCAAGGCCTCCCCCAAACTCGACGTCGCTCCTGAATTCGCCGAAGTCGACTCGGAAGAAGAACTCGACCGTATCCTTGATATCCCCACTGACGCAACAGAATCGTCGACAAATCTACACGCTGAACCCAAAGCCGCAGCCGGAGCAGGCGGCTTGCCCAAGTTCACGGTCCTCAAGGGCATCGCCGCGCCACTGGATAAAGCCAACATCGACACCGACGCCATCATCCCGAAGCAATTCCTCAAGACCATCAAGCGTACGGGTCTCGGGTCTGCGCTCTTCCATCCTCTCCGATACAACGAAGACGGCAGCGAGAACCCTTCGTTCGTGCTCAACCAAGAACCCTATCGGAACTCCAAGATTTTGGTCGTCACAGGCCCCAACTTCGGCTGCGGGTCCTCGCGAGAGCACGCACCCTGGGCTCTTCTTGACTTTGGCATCAAATGCGTGATCGCCCCGTCGTATGCCGACATCTTCTTCAACAACACGTTCAAAAACGGTATGCTTCCTCTCATCATGCCGGACCAGCAGAAGCTGGAAAAGATCGCCGACGAAGCCCGAGCCGGTCGCGAGATCGAAGTCGACCTCCCCAATCAGGTGATCCGCGACGCGGACGGCCACGAACTCGCCAAATTCGGCGTCGAGGAGTTCCGGAAACATTGCCTGGTCGAGGGGTTGGATGATATCGGCTTGACCATGCAGCAGGAGGAAGCGATCAGGAAGTTCGAGGAGAAGCGCACGCTCGATACCCCGTGGTTGGACGGCAGCGGGTATCTCAAGAAATGGAGGAAAGGCCCCGTCAAGGTCGAGGCCGCGCCGGTGCCGAAGACGAATCGTGGAGAGGTCAAGACCGACCCGGTGGAATGGTAGGTGTGGATGTGGTAGGCGGGAGATTCAAAGTAGGGGCCGGTACGAGTAAAACTCAAGTTGAGAACATCCTGGGGGAGCCCGGAAAAGTGTTTTCGATGAGCTACGTATCAATTATCGAGTTCTAGTCATGAAGTACCTATGTGCTGTCTATCAGCTTTGCGTCGTGACGGCGTGGTGCTTGAGCTGGGCTTTTATGATCCTGCTCGTGCTCGTGCTCGTTGGTGTGACAATTCAAATACGTATCTAGCGACCAAATGACACGACTCATGGAATGGTGACTTCCGAAAGCCAACGACAGATGCTTGACAGTCCTTCCTTCTGCTCACTGCGCATCGCTGGCCGGGACGTTTGCTCTACTCGGTCGGCTACGACCCGAGCATGGCATCTCCGTGACCAGTCAATCTAGGGAGCCAAACAGGTACATCCCGTTATTTAACCTAGGAGGAGGCGCAGGAGGAGCAGGAAGAGCAGGACGACCGTGTACTGTAACGTGAATTCAAAACGACAGTCGGACTGGTCGGTAGAAAGTTACGTATTGAAATATCAAGGGGAGGTAAATAAAGGCCCACGTGGAAACCTGCTGTTGCTCATTTGTAAACATGCTGAATTCGCTGAGGCGCAAAATAGGTGAGGGGAGGGGCGCTCGGACACGATGCTTGAACGTGCTGGCTGTCTTTGACGTCCAGGTACTCTAGGCAATCCTACCAGACCACGCTTGAATGGACTGTCGCGGGCTGTGTCCGGAGTGCTGTATCCCTCCTGTGGGAGCTCTGGGTGGGTGCTATATACGGAATTTTGAGGTCACAATGGCCGCCATACCTTGATAATCCGGGTGTCGGATGTGGTACTGGGCCGAGCGATTCAGGATCGGGCTTGATTTGGGTGGAGGCCTGGTTGTCTATCGTCTTGAAAACCGAGCGGGATCGACAAACAGGTCGATTGGGCTGCCTGTGCGGACAGATAGCAGACATTTGGGAGAAGATGGCGAGGCCCGGCTTGAGGCCCTGGCAACGTTGATGTTCTGGGGTTGGAGACAATTCGAGTGCCGTGGCCTGAACAACATTGTACTTTGCATCAGGAGCGTTAAGTTTGCCTGCCACCTCTGGCTGTTTGAACCGACTCAACGCTACGGGAAATAGAAGCCTACCTTGTCTAGTGACGTCTGTGTTTCGA